ACGTTGCACACTCATTTTTCAATACATTTGCCTTTTTGAAGAAACCTTGAGTGCCTGGACCTACTTTCTACTAATATATTTTAGGTTTATAAACCTTTACCACATACTCTTCAAATTTTTATTTTGGTTTGTATATTTGTTTTGCTGGTTTAAAAAAAAAAAAAAAAAAATTGTTAGGTGATGCATGTCCCTTTAACTTTTATTTATTTTTAGAACACATCTCTTTGTATTGAGGGCGGATGTGTTTTTAAATGTGATTTAGGGCTTAATGATTACTCCAACCATCATAACCACTATAGCCCGCTGATGTAAAGGTTACCCCAGTACCATTCCCCAATAATGGGGCTAACCGATTTACAATTGTTTGCCTTCTTACCCGGTGCTGCCCAGCGCTCGGTGTCCTCGGAAGGCAAGTTTTACGACATCTGGCTTCTTTAGAGCTGCAGAAGCTGGATCTTGGTTCTGCCACTCATTCATTGGCCGAGAGCATCAGCTGACAACTGTCAGCTAGCAAATGAGTGTCTCTGCATCGAAATTTGCACAGAACTGACATAAACTTCTGACAACCTATGATGCTGCAGGAGGTGGAGTTACACCTCTGGCAGTAAATGGATTAAACTCGTATGTGTAGTGTTTCAGACTCCAGGCACCATGACCACTTCACATCTCGGATGTGGTCATGTTACTTGGAGTAACCCTTTAAATATAACTACATAAATATAAAGGGTTTCTTTTTCTTATAAGGTGTAGGTAGAGTTTGCAGTCAATGGCTCTTTACATCTAGCTCATTCAGGTTTTAATTTTGATGACATAGTGACAGCTCATAATATTATCACATGAAAATAAGGTTGTAAGCAGTGCTACTAGTGCTTATACAGTGCAGACTCTTCTCCAGTGTTAATTTTGTAGACTAAAAATTTTAGCCAGATTTTAGTCCACTAAAACTAAAACAATCAGATGGCTAAAATACGACTAAAACTAAAATGGCTTTTTAGCCAAAAGATTATGACTAAAACTGAATGGAAATTAAAAAAAATTAACACTGCACAGAGGGGCTGTGGAAGGGGCAAAAAAGACACCTAGAAGAGAGACACCTAGAAGTGCTGTGAGGACACAAAGAGGGGCTAGAGAAGGGGCAAAAGAGACAGATATTAGCTTTAATTAAACCCATTAGATTTTAGTCGACTAACACTAGCCTAAAATTTAAAGGACCACTCTAGGCACCCAGACCACTTCAGCTTAATGAAGTGGTCTGGGTGCCTGGTCCATCTAGGGTTAACCCATTTTTTTCATAAACATAGCAGTTTCAGAGAAACTGCCATGTTTATGAATGGGTTAAGCCTTCCCCTATTTCCTCTAGTGGCTGTCTCATTGACAGCCACTAGAGGCGCTTGCGTGCTTCTCACTGTGATTTTCACAGTGAGAGCATGCCAGCGTCCATAGGAAAGCATTATGAATGCTTTCCTATGTGACCAGCTGAATGCGCGCGCAGCTCTTGCCGCGCGTGCGCATTCAGCCGACGGGGAGGAGAGAAGGAGGATCGGAGGAGGAGAGCTCCCCGCCCAGCGCTGGAAAAAGGTACGTTTTTACCCCTTTCCCCCTTCCAGAGCCGGGCGGGAGGGGGACCCTGAGGGTGGGGGCACCCTCAGGGCACTATAGTGCCAGGAAAACGAGTATGTTTTCCTGGCACTATAGTGGTCCTTTAAACAATTACGACTAAAACAAACATGGCTTTATAGTCAAACGACTATGACTGAACTAAATTTCAATTTGCAGACCAAAATTAACACTGCTCTACTCCCTAAAATTAGTAGCTGTTTGTTGGTAAGTCTTAACAAGACTTGAAAAAGCCCTTTGTCCGTAATAACGGTTTATAACCTAAATTATAAACTCATGGAAACACCACATAACAACACAATAGAGGAAGTGGAGATCATGTTGGGTATTGGTAGTCTGCCAACTCTCTCCCCAATCTATCGCTATCTGATATCCCCAATGAGACAGATGTCCTTCACCTGCTCATTTGAAAAATAGCGGTGTAGATTAAAGAAGACGTGGCAAAAGTACATATTATCATAATCTCTGTCTGCAAAAATAGTGCAGGAAGCAGGGAAAAGCAACCTCTGCCAGAAGGTGCACAGATCTCTGGGTGAACCTTTAAGAACAGTATAGTTTGAGCCCCCACACTTCCCACAAGGCTCAAATGAAAGGTAACTGGATGGAAAAGGCTTTGGGTCCAGTGGTTCTCCCATTATTTAAGAGTTAGACACATTATGTGAAATGTTTGAATTAATAAAAAACAGGCAACATTACCTTGAATGATGAATATGATAAGTACATTTTGTTGTTAATTTATCTTTTTAGAGAAACACTAAAGGTACTATAACAATGTCAACTGATTTAAGTGGTTATGGTGCCTGGAGTCCATTGGCTTTGGGTCCCGCATCACTGTTAAACAGTTTACTACTCGTTTAGCAAAGTTGATCGTCCCCTGCAGCCTGGCCAACAATGACGACATGGCAAAGGTGGAGTTAAGGACAGTGTTTCTCTGACACTCTTGGCCCATCATTGCCGGCTACCCCTGGTTATGTCCCAAGTCAGAGTTTAATTCCACCGTTGCCATAATTTCATTGGGTGGTAGGTAGCATGTGGTCTAGTACCGAGCATATCTGCTAAACATTGAATAAACCGTTTAACAGTTATGCAGGACCCAGCACACATGGATTTCAGGCAACATAACTACTTTAATCATTTGAAGTAGTTATGATGCCTACAGTGTTCTTTTAAAGGGACACTATAGTCACTTGAACATCTTTAGCTTAATGAAGCAGTTTTGGTGTATAGAACATGCCCCTGCAGCCTCACTGCTCAATCCTCTGCCATTTAGGAGTTAAATCCCTTTGTTTATGAACCCTAGTCACACCTCCCTGCATGTGACTTGCACAGCCTTCCATAAACACTTCCTGTAATTGCAACACTTTCTTTATTGCAAGTTCTGTTTAATTAAGATTTTCTTATCCCCTGCTATGTTAATAGCTTGCAAGAGCCTCCTGTATGTGACTAAAGTTCGATTTAGAGATTGAGATACAATTATTTAAGGTAAATTACATCTGTTTGAAAGTAATTTCATGCAGGCTCTGTCAATCATAGCCAGGGGAGGTTTGGCTTGGGCTGCATAAACAGAAACAAAGTGATTTAACTCCTAAATGACAGTGAATTTAGCAGTGAAATTGTAGGGGAATGATCTATACACTAAAACTGCTTTATTTAGCTAAAGTAATTTAGGTGACTATAGTGTTCCTTTAAGATAGAGACTATATTTGTAATGCTTATACAGGGAGTGCAGAATTATTAGGCAAATGAGTATTTTGACCACATCATCCTCTTTATGCATGTTGTCTTACTCCAAGCTGTATAGGCTCGAAAGCCTACTACCAATTAAGCATATTAGGTGATGTGCATCTCTGTAATGAGAAGGGGTGTGGTCTAATGACATCAACACCCTATATCAGGTGTGCATAATTATTAGGCAACTTCCTTTCCTTTGGCAAAATGGGTCAAAAGAAGGACTTGACAGGCTCAGAAAAGTCAAAATAGTGAGATATCTTGCAGAGGGATGCAGCACTCTTAAAATTGCAAAGCTTCTGAAGCGTGATCATCGAACAATCAAGCGTTTCATTCAAAATAGTCAACAGGGTCGCAAGAAGCGTGTGGAAAAACCAAGGCGCAAAATAATTGCCCATGAACTGAGAAAAGTCAAGCGTGCAGCTGCCACGATGCCACTTGCCACCAGTTTGGCCATATTTCAGAGCTGCAGCATCACTGGAGTGCCCAAAAGCACAAGGTGTGCAATACTCAGAGACATGGCCAAGGTAAGAAAGGCTGAAAGACGACCACCACTGAACAAGACACACAAGCTGAAGCGTCAAGACTGGGCCAAGAAATATCTCAAGACTGATTTTTCTAGGGTTTTATGGACTGATGAAATGAGAGTGAGTCTTGATGGGCCAGATGGATGGGCCCGTGGCTGGATTGGTAAAGGGCAGAGAGCTCCAGTCCGACTCAGACGCCAGCAAGGTGGAGGTGGAGTACTGGTTTGGGCTGGTATCATCAAAGATGAGCCTGTGGGGCCTTTTCGGGTTGAGGATGGAGTCAATCTCAACTCCCAGTCCTACTGCCAGTTCCTGGAAGACACCTTCTTCAAGCAGTGGTACAGGAAGAAGTCTGCATCCTTCAAGAAAAACATGATTTTCATGCAGGACAATGCTCCATCACACGCGTCCAAGTACTCCACAGCGTGGCTGGCAAGAAAGGGTATAAAAGAAGAAAAATCTAATGACATGGCCTCCTTGTTCACCTGATCTGAACCCCATTGAGAACCTGTGGTCCATCATCAAATGTGAGATTTACAAGGAGGGAAAACAGTACACCTCTCTGAACAGTGTCTGGGAGGCTGTGGTTGCTGCTGCACGCAATGTTGATGGTGAACAGATCAAAACACTGACAGAATCCATGGATGGCAGGCTTTTGAGTGTCCTTACAAAGAAAGGTGGCTATATTGGTCACTGATTTGTTTTGTTTTGTTTTTGAATGTCAGAAATGTATATTTGTGAATGTTGAGATGTTATATTGGTTTCACTGGTAATAATAAATAATTGAAATGGGTATATATTTGTTTTTTGTTAAGTTACCTAATAATTATGCACAGTAATAGTCACCTGCACACACAGATATCCCCCTAACATAGCTAAAACTAAAAACAAACTAAAACTACTTCCAAAAATATTCAGCTTTGATATTAATGAGTTTTTTGGGTTCATTGAGAACATGGTTGTTGTTCAATAATAAAATTAATCCTCAAAAATACAACTTGCCTAATAATTCTGCACTCCCTGTATATTAAATGCAACACATTATGGAGATAAAGAAAAACAATTAGATGGTATTTTTTTTTAATAATACTGTTTCATCATCATCCACCAAAAGAGGCTCTCCTGAAATCAGTTCAGAAATGGAATGATTCTAAAATTGTAGCTACAAACCTTTAAGCAATTGGCTAATATGAAAATGATGGTGAAACAAAGGATGCTATAGCCAATGATCTTCATGGCAAAAATAGATTCCACATCCGTTAATTTGCGTTTTCGATTTAAGTCTGTTTCCACAACCAGGCGGAATCTAGCCTTTCGCCGCCCTTGGAGCCAGCAGGTGTATGTTGCCTCGTCATTTCTTTGTACATAGTGAATATTTAGATGGTTTCCAAAGTCAATGAAGATTCTCATGGAGGCATTATTTCCAAGAAGGTACTTTGTAAGGTACATCCTATTCTTACCCTTGTCCCAAGCAACAGCAAAGTGCGGTTTAGCTCCAGGACATGCAAGGGCAAGATTGCTTCCCAGAGCATGTATGTGCACCTGAAGGGGCACCTTACCAAGCCGTAACAGGAATTTCGTTACAGTAGCAGTGAGGTGCCACATATGTTGAAGAGCACCCATAAAACCTTTTTTTCTAACGTAGCAAGGGGCATTACAGCTCCTAATTGCTAACTCTGGTTTCCGATCCGCTACATACATCCTGAATCTTGAGTCTACTGCTCCAGAGCCACAGGCAGCCACATTTTCGGCTGTAATACGGTATCTTGGATAAAGATATTTACTTTGGATATAGCACAGACCCACTCTTCTTTGCTCTCCTCTTACATTACAGCGGTCACAAATGGTCCAATCCCAAAACAAGGTAAAAATTTCAAAATCTTTCATCACCAGATTATTTTGTGGGTGACCTTGCTGATCTTCAAATGCAACGAACATGCCACTGACTTTCTGGATGTCCATATTATACCCATAAAAGTATTGACCTTCCCGAGTGCCACATATATAATAACCCGAGTCATCAGGTTGAGACTGGAAGACAATTAGACTAAACATTCTTATACTGAACCTGAGGAGGAGATCTATTCCACTGTGAATGTTTTCACTATCAGTCACAATTGTTCCACCAAAGTCTGTAAGCACACGAGTCGATTTATCCCCAATTTCCTTCTGGTAGTACCACACCACGGAGTCTATTTGCTCTGGTTTACAATGACATGGAAGTTCAACGGTCATACCTTCAAGAAATGCAGCTATGTCGAAAATAATGAAAGCGGGACAAGGAACTACCTTGAAAATGTCCTCTTTTTCTGCAATTTCAAAGCTCCCTGCTGGGAATATGTACAACAGGAAAGCATCAAAAAGAAGAAAGATGTTTGCATGTGCATTTAGGCGCATCTTCGGTTAGAACTCCCAAAGAGATGAAGAAGGTTGTAATAAAAATAGAGCACAGTATCTTTCAAAAATATCTTTCAAATAAAAAAGGTCTTTAAATAAGTTATAGAAAATGCAAAAGTTATTCTTTGTTTTTGTTTTTCTTTGCAAAATCCTGAATGTAAAATAACTCACAAGGATCTTAACTTGTTCAAACATTCGTGCCTCCTGTGTTATGGCAGATGTCCTGTTTTATTGTGTTGCCATGGAGACTAATTACATCACAATCTGGAATTTCCACATCGCATTCTAGAACTTCTACATCACTACCAATGGTAGTTGGTAGTTTAACCAATTCACCAGCGGCTCATCAATGCAACCAACTTAATTGGTAAAACCGGAATTGCTAGCGTGCAGAACCAGACAGTCACAAGGGCCTAGGGCAGGGGTAAGCAACCTTTAGCATTCCAGATGTTGCGAACTACATCTTCCAAAGGTCACCTTCTGATGGCATAGTGAAAAGCCTGCTGCTCCCACCACCTTCTTCCCAAGTTTTGACCCCAGTCTCTGCTAATACATCCCTCTAAACATTTCAAATTCACACAGAAGAACACTTATTTTGGAGTGGCTTACTAATAATTCATGCAACAAAATTATAAATTAGAACAGGAACAATGTATCTTATTTACACAGACTGATTTCTAAACACATTTATTGTAGTTTATACACGTTACTGTTAGTATTATTTCGGTGGAGCTCTGTTATACACAGACACACCAACAATATGGAACTCCTAGAAAAGAGGCTTGTTAGAATAGAAAAGAAGGACAGAGGGCTTTGGGTCCTAAATAGGGACACTTGGGAGGTTTGCTGTTTATAAGATGGAGATGTTGCACCTGCCATGATTTATGGAATCAGGTGACATTCCACCTCCAGGAGCAGGCCGTCTTTGTATACCTCAGTTATCAGTCCAGTGCTTGGTTATTCTAAAGCTTTGGCTAAGGTTACCTCAGTGCTGCTCCTATTCCTTGTCCAGACCCTGCACCTGTTCCTGCCCTGCATACACCATTTTGTTCTGCTCATTGCAGACTACCAATAAACGTTGATCAATAGCATCCGGTCGTTCAGATTGTTATGTTTTTGATTAACTTATTACTCCACTTGCTGTACTTTCCCACTGTCTTCCTGCTGTTCTGTTACCCCATATATACTGTTTTCATTGGCCTACATTTCTAGTCATACCCGAATGGTGCCTGCTTGTGCAGATAACCTTGACTAGAAGCTACAAGAGGTGTTAGATTCTGCCTCGTTTCCAGGGGTGCCCAAAAGGTAGATCCCCTGATGTTTTAAAACTAAGCTCCCATGATGCTTTGTCATTCTAAAGACATTTGAGATGCATGCAAAGCATCATGGGAGTTGTAGTTATACATCTAGGGATCCACCTTTTAGGCACCCCTGCTCTACTCTATTCTTCCATCACGGTATCTCAAAATCCGTAAACAATGTAAAGTTCATTGAGAACTGCCCTCAGTAGAGGGTCCTGATATTTGCAACACAATTATTTTGACAGTTGTGTTTATCATGTAGTGGTTTCCTGGTTCTCTATCACTGCATCCCACATCCCAGAAATTAGGCTCAGTTGTCAGATGGGTAATTTGGAATATCCCGGGAAATATACCTATTACAGATCAAAATCTCATAGAAAAAGAGCTAAAAAAAATAAATTCTGTTTATAAAAAGTTAATTCAAGCATCATAACCACTAGACAGCTCCCACGTTCACATTTCAAAGGATTTTCCCATGAATCTATTGTCTGGATGGACAATCTGGTGATAAAGACCGAATTCCGACCAGAATGGGAATTTTCATATTTACTAAAGCCATTCTTAGCTCTCCCCTAAATTAGTGACATTTTCCCTCTCCCAGCTGGCTAGGCCCAAGCCCTTAGTCACCCCACATTAAAACAAAATAGCCCTACCTACCCCCTGTCCCTTATAATAGTGGGGAAGTTATTACAACTAATACTTGCAATAATAAAAAAAAGTTATGATTACAATGGCTGCCGGGACCATATTCAGCAAACCGTCAGCATTTGGCCTGGCTAAAATCTGAACTATATTTAGACTCATTCAAAGATGGCAGAGCAAAATCCAGGCATTGTTAAATAGTGTGAATAATGCTTGCATTTTTCATTCTGAATAGCCCTGTATGCAGCCGGATGGTTTTGCCCCATTCAGAACAGGACCATTTGGAGTTTAGCGAATATCCCTGTACGAATTATAGAAGCCTTCCTCTTCTGTAATTCTAGAATAGAAATTCAGCTATACTACTTAGTGGCTTCCAGGCCACATTTTATGGTTTGAGGTCTCCTCTTATGGCTTTTCTACCCTTCCTATGGTTTTGCCAAGTTAGTTAGGGTTTTCAGATCTACTGAGCAGGAATATTCTTGTGATCCTACTTGGTTAGGAATGCTAGCATTTGTCATTATATTCCACTGACTCTTTTTTGAAAAGTATAGAAGATATTCAAGCAGCTTGGCTTGCAATTAATCAAGACATGCAGATATTTCAACTTGTTTATTTTATAACTCTTGTTATTTTGAATACATTTTCTCCCACATACTGGATTGTAGATGCTATCCAAGATGTCCTTGTGATTATCATGGGGTTGCAGACCAGTATCCTCTGGACTACATTCCTTGGCCTGGAGAGATGGAGATATCCCACTGAGTAAGCAGTTGGCTTTTCCTTGCACTTACAGGGATTTGTGTATGCGAAGGACGGGTTTGATTTTTGGACAACCTCCTTAGATATTTTTTTCCTGATTAATAACCATGGTATCGTTAGATCATTGGAACGCATCTTCTTTGTGTCGTTCGTGGTAGAGGAGCTAGCCCCCTAGACTGTCTGAAGGTATACTACTTTTTTTAGTTCTGTTGCCTCTCTTTTCAGCTGTGAGAGGAGGAGCTACCGATTATTAATTCACCGTGACTATTAATCAGGGATATTGCAGGTATCCATTAACCCAAACAATGAACACAACACAAGGAATAGGTCTATGCAAATATATATATTCCAAATAAGAGTTAGATCCTTCACTGGTTGACTTTGTAAAGGGCCTCTAACGTAGTTAACATTTCTTCTCTTTTAAAGTCTGTGTCTAAATTTTCTTCGTTTGTGTTAAACGTCTGTAGCTTTACAAAGAGGTTTTTGCAGCTCTCCACCTCTGCCCCACTGAGGAAGACAAGATTGAGGTTGAAACGTTGAGTGTTAGCCAAGCTATGTAGTATTCTCAGCACCTCCTCTTGGTGAGTACTCTGGACATTTTCCTCCAAAGCAGTTAAGATCTCTCCTAGAAGCCCCGAGCATACTTCTGTATGAAAGAGCTGGGTCAGTCTGTCAGCTTTGAGTCGCAAGAGAAAGTTGTACCTTTTCTCTACTCCCAGTCTGCGCCATTCACGGGCAAATTCAAATGCATTTGTGGGCTCTGATTGGGACTCCTAAAAAAGACATGGACAGCATTCAAAATTAATTTAAAAAAAAAAAAGAAATAGTATACATAAATAAAATCATTGTTGTTCTCTATGCACTGTGCCTTTTTTTTTTTTTTAAATGAGTCTTTGAATTAATGTAATATGAGAGAAACTAGATGACTCCTTTAATCTGAGACATTTTAAGAAAAAAAATACCGGTAATTTAGAATTCTATTTTTTTTTTTAAATGCAATCATGTGGTATACATTTTCAATAAAATCCCAGCTTTACATCAGTTACTTAAAGAGACACCCCAGATCCCTAAAGCAGCACTTAGGCTTGCTTGAAGGTGAAACACAAAATTTATTTTAAATTTTCATTTTACAAAAAGTGCAGTTTTCATTAGCAATTGGCCCTTTTAGAAATTAACCTTGTTACATCCCTGGCTGTCAATCAGACATCCTGTCCTGTTACTACCTGGTTTGGTTAGCTCACTTAAGCTAAAGATGTGTCAACTGCCCAGAGCACCTGCCTTGCAAAGACCCCAACAGAAAAATATATCACTAAGTGCATGCATGTTTTAATTTGGAGTATACCTTCTACAGTGATATTTTTTTATTTGGACAATGGAGTGTCCTTTAAACTTATTGAGAGGATATATCACTAGCAAAATACAAAACTATTATAATTTGAACTGGTTCACTGGAGAGGTGTATAATTGCACACTCATTATAACTTTAGCACCCAGAGGTATGAGACATCTTAATTGACTCACTTTATACATTTCTACAATGAAACCTGTTATTACACAGGCTGGGGATGCAGTACACACAAATGAACATGTTTGTGGTGCCATCACTTGCACAGAATAACTTGATCGTAAAAACAAATCACTATGGAAAGACGTTCTGTGACAAACTTCAAAGGGGAACTCCTGAAAGGATGGTGAAAGGTTTCAATGATGTAGTTTAAAGGTGGGGCCTAGTAAAAGTACCAAAATGGCAACTGTATGCTGGAAGGAAGTGGCATTTACTGATGACATGGTGGTAGAGATTAACACAGTGAGGGAGACTATGCATGTATGGGATAGGCATAAGGCTATCCTAACTATAAGATAAGGCCAGGGACTAATGAAAGTATTTAGAAAATTGGGCAGACTAGATCGGCCGAATGGTTCTTATCTGCTGTCACATTCTATGTTTCTATGACATAAGTTATTTAGCTATACATCAAGAAAGAACCCTTAGGCACTTACGGTGTTCAAATATAAAACAGTTTATTGGACCATCATGTGGACAGCAACGTTTCCACCTCCACTGAGGTCTTTGACAAGCATTGGAGGGGATAAGGTTTACAGAGTCACCAGCTATGTTGCAGTTTGTTTGAATAAACCGGTACTTTAAAGGATTTGCATCGCAGAAGTCGTCTTGTTTTTTTTTTTTTTTTTTTTTTTAAAGTGAGGTCCACTTTAATTGTCTAATAGGAAGAGGTGCTTAAAAGAGGTGCTTAAAAGATAGAAAGGAACAAATGGACACAAAGTGTTTTATTGATATCCTGACCTGATGACCATGTCAAAAAAGAAACAGGTTTCGTCATTTCAATGGAGTAACAACAATAATATTTAGTGTTTACTAAATTGCTTGTGTGTATATTTTTTAATTTAATACTAAGAGAGTACTTAGGGCATCCCAGGATACTTTAGTGTGGGGGAAATTAGTAACTGTAGTGTGGATACACAGTATGTATACTTTGCTGATATAGCGCTAAATGTACTTAGCACTTCACAGGTTTCAATGCGGTAGAGGGGACATATCTCAAGTGCAGTATTTATACAGTCAATGTACATTTTATTCTTACAGAATTAACAGGTTTAATTTGCACTTTACACGTTACATTACTGGGTGCAGTGAGTGCAACGGTTATTCAGGATGTGTATATTTAATTAGTATATGGAGCCAACAGTATCACTGATAGTTTATTGGTTGCATTACAGCAGATGGGAAGTAGGCATTCAGGATATGTATATTTGTCTACAACATGAGCAGATGTACTTGGTACTTTAAACATTACAGTACTAGCACTAACAGTTGTACTGGGTGACAGTTATATAGCCTGTGTTTGATTTCTGTAGTGTTAAAAGGGACACTTCACCACCTAAAAACTAAATGTAAAAAAAAATCACTGGTTAGTAGATATACTCCAAATGAAATCATGTATTTAATTATTTATTTTTCATTGAACTTATAACTGAAAACATACAAAAGTGACGCTCCACTCATCACTTTTGTATTATTGCTTGTTGGTAGTTTTTGTGAATTGAACCAGAGTGTGAAGCGCTTTTTAACACCTTCAACCCTGCTTAAGCACCCAGATTGTGTTTTATCTTTTTATAACTGAAAACAGTTTGCAAAACCTACAGCAGTTCTCCTGTCTGCAGCCTTTGCAAGCCCAGACTTTCTGTGGCTGTCCAATCACAGACTTCCAAATGCAGCTCAATGAGAAGTCTTTGCAAGGCAGGTGCTGTGGGCAATTGCTGCCTCTTGAGTTTAGCTCTGAGCTAAAAAAAAAGGGGGGTAAGAGGGCTCACTGTCTACTTGAATTTTCAGGGGGTGTAACCGGGTTAATTGGTAAAAATGTACATTTCTAAAATGAAATAAAGATGGTACACAAAAAGCTATTCAGCAAGCTAAAGTTCTTTAGAAGTCTAAAGTGCTTAGCACTTTAAATGTTACATTACAGTAGAGGGTACAATATATGCAGTATGTACAGTGTATCTATGTACCATAAAGCATTAACAAGCTTATTTGACATTTTATTGGTTAAAGGGATACTATAGTGTCAGGAATACAATGCTGTATTCCTGGCACTGTCGCTCCCTCCTCCCATGAATAAAGAGTTAAAAACCCTTTATTTACTTAACTTATCCCAGCGCCGATGTCCCTTGGCACTGGGTTGACGCTCCGCCCTCTACGACGTCCGCGACGAGCGGGAGCTAATGCGCATATGTGGCAAATGCCGTGCGTGCATTAGACCTGCAGAGCATGAGGACTTTCAGCGTCAGATACCATACCAAAGGTACGTTGGATCCAGGAAGCACCCCATGTGGCTGTCTGGTAGACAGCCACTGGAGGCTGACTTAGTGCTGCAATGTAAACATTGCAGTTTCTCTGGTGCAATAGGGGCACTGCACCCAGACCACTTCATTTAGTTGAAGTGGTCTGGGTGCCTATAGTATCCCTTTAAATCATACTAGGAGAGGGGTATAGTAAATGTAGTAGGTATACATACATTCAATGCATATTTATATGGTGGTAACAGGTATACTTGCCACTTTATGGTTAACAACACAGTGGAGTGACGTACACCAAGTGCATGGCGATCTTTAAGATAAATGACATCATTCCCAATCCTCTTATGAATATGATGACATCACTGTAAAGATTTTGAGCTTTAAGACAGTTAGGGGAAGGTGATCAGTGGTCTGGAGTCTTTGTTCTTTCTCCTCAGAGAAAAAAAAAAATTCTTAACATATTCTCCAGAAACTTTACACTGGCTGAACAAATGCAAATGTTCTTTTTTCCTGTCCATCAGTTCATACAGCTTGATCAGAAAATTGGTTTTACACTAGTCTATAAGATAAATTGGATTTCACAAAAGCACACACTATGATTAATTAGAGATTCAGAGGCTCTTGGAGACCGAATCTATATGTGAAGCACAAGACAGTTTAGGCTGAGAATTTAAAATTTACACTTTATTACAAAAAAAACAACAGACGATAAGCTTGACAGAATACATTATGCAGAGAGTATGTAGAGTGAATTCTACAAAACAGATGAAGAGAATCGAAAAACAAGGATCTGTGTTTAGCTTCAAACAAAAAAAATATTTTTTCTTCTTAATTAGGACTTTAATAATGTTTGCTGGTTCTTTGTTTAAGAGAAAGAGTGGGAGGACTCTGGACACATTGAGATTTAATTAAATCTCCTGGCAGTGAGGGGTTTACTAGACATTATTTGAAGCAATCTTTACATGATTGTCTTCATCTGATTAACATCCGAAACAAATGGATGCTATAAAACACAAACAAAACAGTTTTACTCTAATATTTCAAAGAATAAATATATGGTAGTATTTGTCAGTAATCTCTAGAGTTTACATGGATGGTATGCATAAATATTGAAAAACAAATAAAAGAAATGATATGGAATAGAAGTAAAGGAATTGTAGTCGCAGACAACTTAAGTTTACGGGAACTAGAAAAAAAACAATTAAAAGTAGTCAAGTTGAGTCAAGCATACCAGAAGATTGCAAATACAAAGACAAGCTGGGTCAAAACTAAAATACAATAACAAAATACAGAAGAATTCATGAATTATTCGGCCAAAAAGGTATCTCAAAAGGGCAAGGGCGCAGTACAACAGTAAGATGGGGTTTAAATAAGTGAACTAGATTGGATCATAGTCTGTTGAACCACGATTGGCAGTGTTGGTGGTGGTGAAGGAGTGAACACAACCTCCCAAAGATCCAATAGACAGAACAATGTCAGCTGCAGGAATGAGCTTTAAAATGCAAGAAAGGACCCAGATCCCAAGGTTATAGCAGGTAATATTACAATTACCGTAGGTAGAAGCATTACCAACATACACTGATCAGCCGCAACATTAAAACCATTGACAGGTAAAGTGAATAACACTGATTATACTGTTAAAACGGTACCTGTCAAGGGGTGGGATATATTAGGTAGCAAGTGAACAGTCAGTTCTTGAATTTTATGTGTTGAAAGCGGGAAAAATTGGAAGGCGAAAAAATCTGAGTGATTGCTAGACTACTGGGTCAGAGCATCTTCAAAATCACAAAGTCTTGTGGGATGTTTCTGGTATGCAGTGGTTAGTACGTGCCAAAAGTGGTGCAATGAAGGACAACCCAAAGCTCATTGATCTAGTCCGATCAACCAGAAGAGCTACTGTAGCTCAAATTGCAGGAAAAAAAAAAATGAATGGTTGCCATGATAGAAAGGTGTCAGTTTGCTGCGTAGTGGTCTGTGTAGCCAGAGACTGGTCAGAGTGGCCATGATGACCCATGTCCTTAGCCAAAAGTGCCTTCAATGGAAACGTGAGCATCAGAACTGGACCATGCAGCAGTGGAAGAAGGTTGTCTGGTATGCTGAATCACATTTACTGGTCTGATGAATCAAAACAGGGGAATGGCCGGTTGTGTGTGCATCGATTATGATGTTTGGGAAAGAGATGGCAGCAAGATGCACTGTGGGAAGAAGGCAGGCCAGCAGATGCAGTGTTATCCTTAGTTACTGGCATTCAAGTGGATGTTTCTTTGACATGTACCACCTACCTAAAGATGGTTGCAAACCACATACACCCCTGCATGGCAATGGTGGTGTCTTATAACAGGATAAGGCACCCTGCCACACATCAAAAATTGTTAAAGAATGGTTTTGAGGAACATGACAAAGAGCTCAAGGTTTTGCTTTGGCCTTCAAATTCCCCAGTTCTCAATACAATTGAGCATCCTTGGAATGTGGTGGAACAACAAATCCAATCCATGACGGCCCCCCCTGTCAACCTGCATGACTTAAAGGATCTGCTGCTAATATTTTGGTGTCAGATACCACATGACACATTCGGAGGTCTTGTGGAGTCCATGCCTTAATGCATCAGAACTGTTTTTGCAGCAGGAGGGGGACCTACATGATATTAGGCAGGTGGTTTTAATGTTGTGGCTGATCAGTGTATGGTGATTTTAAATTAATGCACTATACAGGCTTCATGTACAGTACATTTTTAAAAGGACACACCCTAGCACCAAAGCCATCTCTCTCCCCCTTTCATATGTCATTGTGTAAGATGCTCTTTGCCCCGATTCCTTCATCAAATTCAATATTCAAAATATAGCCTGCCCACAAGCCCCAGTGATTGGAGACTACTACTGTGGCAACAACCATTAGGATAAACGACAGATCGGCGACTTTTTCCCGGGGATAGACCCGAGGCCTACTCATGCAGCCCAAAGGAGTCTGACGATCCCTTAGCTGACTGCAGCATACTCAACCAGCGGTCTGGTCATGTTGCTCTCTTCCCTAAACGAATTGATTTGTTTGGCAACAAATTGATTAGCATGGAATAGAACCCCTCTCGTTTAGTAAAAATGATTGATCAGTCTAAAAACTAATCAAATGGGATTCTATACAGGACAAATCGATTAGTTTAAGGAAGAGTGCAATAAATGCACATGGCAAGCATCGTATTTTCTTCCCCTGTCAGTCTCCTCTCCTCACCTGTAATAAGGTACAAGTGGACTCTCCTGTCCGATCCTTTGTCGTGGAGGCTGGGTTCCAAGGCTGCTTCCTCTCTGTTCCAATCTTATCCTTTTTCTCCAATGGTTTGAGGTGAGAGGCCAGAACAATATCTCTGTGTTGAATAAAGATGAGGAAAGTATTCATTAACCAAATAAGTGCGTTTTCGGACTTATTTCAAATAGCCTATAAACGATAGTAGGAATCAGATCTACCCATGGAAGTTCCGTCAATGTAAGTAAGTGAATGCTATGTTATAACTTGATAGCCCACTTTCCAAAGACATAGATACTCTTCACAACCTCTTTTACCTGAACTCTTCATAAGATGACACTTTTTGATGTATAGCCCGGAACTTGGCATCATTTTCTCTTTTATACTTTTGATCAGCGGCAACTGCTATGGCAAGTTCCCTCTCCAACTCCTGGAAATTAATCGATTGTGGGTCACTCATTGCAGTGCAGACCTCAACAGATAAAAGAAAAAGGGATAGGTATTCCATTTAGACAGAAATTAGCACAATTGTAATTTGAATGGATTTTGTAGAATATTTGTTTTAATAGACTACAAAATGAAATTATTGTAACATCTTTATGATTAGTTAACATGGAAGCATTTAAGCGGTGAGTTCATTATTAAAGGAACACTATAGTGCTAGGAATAGAAAGCTGCATTCCTAACACTATAGTGTCCCTCTAACCCCTCCCTCGTAACCCCCCTCATGGCAATTAAAGGGTTAAAAACCTTTTAAAACACCTACCCGATTACAGCACAGAAGGCCCTTGGTGCTGGCTCTGTCTCCTACAACGTGAATGTCGAGGAGGAACCTAATCGGCATGTGCAGCGAGCACCGTGCGTGGATTAGGCCTGGACATGCACATTAGGTTCTTCAATGCTTTCCTATGGAGTATTTGAAGACATTAAACGTCCTCATGCAAAGCGCAAGGACGTCCAGCATTGTTTCATGAAGCTAAGCTCTGTGTAAATCAAGGAAGCGCCTCTTGTAGCTGTCTGGGAGACAACCACTAGAGGCAGTCTTAATCCTACAATGTAAACATTGCAGTTTTTAGATTGTAGGGTTAAGGTTACAGGAACTGCACCCAGACCACTTCAATGAGATTAAGTGGTCTGGGTGCGTGTAGTGTCCCTATAAACAGAATATGTGCACGATGAGAACGCATCAAAATATCTGACTGAAGAAACTAAGGACTAACAAATTATTACAACTTTCCCCAGAACTCTTAGCCGATCACTCGTAATGGGTGCACAGATTTGCACTTGGTAATGTAAAAGTACAGTTTGAATGCAGCTGAAGAGCAGGCAGGCTTCAGGTGCCGGGGAGAGCCTTTTTTTTTGTCAAATCCACATTCTTTGTCAAGATAGTGGAGTTTGCCTTAAGCTCCACCCTTAGTCAAGCGTAGAGGGAGCCACTCTAATGCATCAGTGGACAGTCTCAGTCAATGAAAAATCTCCAAACTTGGTTTGCTAATGCAGAAGTTTAAAGTTTAAGTTTTAGCATATCAGCACAGACTGGAAGGTCGGTGCCTGATAGAATCAATAAGAATCAAAATTCTCAAAAACAGTTTAACTGCTTACACAGTGATGGCAGCAGGGAACTTCTTACACCATAACCACTACAATGTTGCGTATCTTGTACCTGTCATCACAAAACAGCAAATCGAAGTTGATTAAACTTACTAATTTCAGGTTGAAATAGCCAAACTATGAGAATAGTAGAGTTGATTGTTTTTTTTTGTTTTTTTTTGTTTTGTTTTTTTAATGTGTTTTATTTTCCAGTTCTATATAATTCAGTGTTTAGTGAATAAACCCTATTATAATTTTTTAGATCACAAAAACTAAACTGAAAAGATTCTCCAAGTTGGTTATGTTTTCAGTTCTTTTTTGGCCAAACATGTGAAATTTACTTTGAATTCCTGACATTTCACACTTTATTAAAAACAACATTAAAGGACCACTCTAGGCACCCAGACCACTTCAGCTTAATGAAGTGGTCTGGGTGCCAGGTCCAGCCAGGATTAACCCATTCTTTTATAAACATAGCAGTTTCAGAGAAACTGCTAGTTTTATGAATGGGTTAAGCCTTCCCCCAAATCCTCTAGCGGCTGTCTCATTGACAGCCACTAGAGGCGCTTGTGTGCTTCTCACTGTGAAAATCACAGTGAGAGCACGCAAGCGTCCATAGGAAAGCATTGTGAATGCTTTCCTATGTGACCGGCTGAATGTGCGCGCAGCTCTTGCCGCGTGTGCGCATTCAGCCGACGGGGAGGAGAGGGGGAGGATCGGAGGAGGAGAGCTCCCCGTCCAGCGCTGGAAAAAGGCAAGTTTTTCCCCCTTTCCCCTTCCAGAGCCGGGCGGGAGTGGGACCCTGAGGGTGGGGGCACCCTCAGGGCACTATAGTGCCAGGAAAACGAGTATGTTTTCCTGGCACTATAGTGGTCCTTTAAAGAATGTATTTGTTAAACAGCAAATTGGAATTGGAATTAAATTGGAAACTGAAATGTCTAAAATAGTCAAGCTGTAACCATAGTGAAGTTGGAGAATTATTTCACATAAGATCCTTTAACCTAAAATGTTAAAATGTATTTTTATTTCCAACAGTAATTAGATTTTAGTGAATAAAAGTGAATGGAAATCAAATTACAAAATGTAGGCCAAAATGCACACATGGAAAAAAAAATCTCAAATGAAACTAAAATTACAGCTTTATAGGGTTACTCCAATCACCACAACCGCTACAGTTTGCTATAACCCTGGCCCGGTTACCCGTAATGGGGCAGGCTGTTTAGCAACCTTTTACCCCCTTACCTGAATCCTCACCAAGCTCCAATGCTCCATGGTGGTCTGGTGATGTGCAAAAGAGCTGCAGAAGCAGTGGACATCCCCATTCATTGGCTGAGAATGTCATAACTTTTGCACAGATTAACATTAGTCAGCCTAGACCTCTAGTTCCAGTCTGGCTGATGACACTCCTATGTTGCTGCCGGAGGTGGACTTACACCTACAGCAGCAGAAGGGTTAAACTTTGTATGTGCAGTGTTAGTAAGCTATGTTTGCAGTTAGGCTATTTGTATATATTTTGAATTGCAGACAATTTACTCTGTAGTGAAATAGACCTGTCAACTTTAGCAGGTCTGATAAGGGGAAAGAGTGGGACCAGTGTACAGTCATGTCAGTAACACAATCTGCATCAGATGTGCTTGCCCATAAAGGGTCATCACGAGACCACCATGGAGCATTGGAGCTTGGTGAGGAATCAGGTAAGGGGGTAAACGGTTGCTAAACAGTCTGCCCCATTACTGGTAACCGTGACTGGGTACAGCAGACCCATTACTGGTAACCGTGACTGGGTACAGCAGGTACAGCAGACTCATGTCAGGATGACATGGTGTGCACTGAGAAGTGCTCGAGTGGGTTTAAACGCTTCTCATGAAACTCATGAAAATGTGTTATGCTTTTCCTCAATGAATGACAGCTGTTCTGTCAGATGACTGGGAGAACCGGCGGAAAACAGTGCGCCACAAGAACATGCGACTTGGCACATCCGGTAAATAATTCTGTTAGGGTTATATACTAATGTTAGAATTGTCTGGCCAAATTTATGTGCAAAATAGCTGAACTGCAGATTTTCGCCAGCTTGGCAATTTTGATCTAAAATTTACCAAATTCGGATTTCTTTAAAATACAATGTATACTTTGGTGACTAAAACCCCTTCGCACACTCTGAATAGTTTTGACTTCAAATTATAGACAAATAACTTATTAACCAATTATTATATCAGTACCAATAGTATTAAAATAGACCTATACACATTCTCCAAAATACTAAATTATACATTAAACTTGAAACCGTCTCTGCTCAGAATATTAAATATTATGTTTATATCCTATACACTGTAAGCTCGTTTGAGCAGGGTCCTCTTCAACCTATCGTTCCTGTAAGTTTTCTTGTAATTGTCCTATTTATAGTGAAATCCCCCCTCTCATAATATTGTAAAGCGCTACGGAATCTGTTGGCGCCATAATAATAATAATAATAATATCCCATATGTAACAAATATATGTTAACGGGTCTTTAACCCCTTAAGGACACATGACATGTGTGACATGTCATGATTCCCTTTTATTCCAGAAGTTTGGTCCTTAAGGGGTTAAACAAATTTTAAATTAACCACTGTACAGCGCTACAGAATCTGTTGGCGCCATATAAATGGCGATGATAATAATAATATCCCATATGTAACAAATATATGTTAAACGGGTCTTTAAACAAATTTTAAATTAACCATTGTACAGCGCTACAGAAATAATAAAATAATAATAATAATAATAATAATAACTGTATGGTGGGTGCCAGCCTGCAAAATATAATCATAATATTAAAAGTTACAATAAAATCAACAACAATACTAATAAAGTTTGATGATAATAACAACAAAGGCATGTTACAAACCAACTCTATGCTCAGCTTCTTGGTTGTCATAGAAACCCTGATCCACCCTCCCTTCTTTAAACGAATACACTTGTCAGCCAATCAGAATCAAGCATGTGTGCGCGTGAAAAAAAAAACCTCTGCCAATCACTGGCGCTTCCTGCAATCTGAGCCTCAGGGACAAGTGAGGCCGTTTTTTAGGTGTCCAGTGTTATGCCTGATTTTAAAAAAATAAAAAAATCCATTCTAATTTTTTTGAACGTTTCTAACGCTATGGTCTGTTACACCTGGATCGTATACGGTTTTCCGGCGCCTTTCAGTGATGGAGTACTCTGTGTGGTGGTGTTTCAGGCGGGGCTGCCCCAGGAGAACTTGGCGCCGACGGGCAGGGGTCCTTCGTGGCTGGTGTCGCAGGAGGAGTTGCGTGTGTGTTCATGCGGCGTGTGTGAGTCCATCCCCCATACAGAGCGTTTTCAGTGCGTTAATTCACCGGTAAGCCATGGGCTGGGACAGGTTTATCATTGCAGACTCAGAGTTTGCTGGGATATACTTTAATTTGCCCACAGTCAGATTTATATATTTTAGAAAATATTTTGTCCCTTAAATTCAATGCATTTTGTCTGCAGCCTTGTACAGTGGGTTCAGATAAAGCACAAACCCAAATAAAGGCTGGGGCAGACATGCTGCAAACAGAAATAAATTAGTAAAACCAAGGCAGCTTGTTTGGAATTTCCCCCCCTTAATTAATGAGTTGAGGGCTTCCTGCTGTATCTGAATTATGCAGACTAACACTGTAAATGTGCTGCCCCTGGTTTGAAAGAAGTGGTCTACATTCAGGAATCTTAGTTGATTCTGATAATAATTGTATTAAGGGGGGCTCTAAGCAACATTACTAGTACAACCCCACCCCCAGATCTTTGGTCACTGCCTTACAAGTTGAATGAAACTGACCTTTAATAATAATAATGTGGAAGGAAGTGTGAATTTTGTTTTCACAAATTTGGCTAACCTAGTGATAGTTGAGTAGTGAAGTTGTAAACAATTTGACGTGAAACTGGGGACCCTAGGTGATATAAACTGCTACAGCAAGCTGTAGTGGTTAACTTGCTTATTTTGTCATACATAAGCTGTAGGGGGTTACGGTAAAGCATAGTGCAGCTGCTTAAAGTTTGTGATACATGGCATTGGTAAACTAAGGAAGATATAGCAATTGTTATTTTCAGGACAATAGGTTCCCTTTATGGCTGCCTATGCTAGATTCATGTAATGACTACCCAGACAACTGTACACTTAATATAGTTAATACAAGAGATGTATAAAGGATACATATAGTCCTATATGTAATGGTTATGATGCTTTAGTGAATAACACTGTGTGTTGGTATTCATATTTGTGTTGAATTTTGGTTTCGATAATATTTTAATGACGTACACAAGAATCATCATAAGCACTGCATCTTATTGTAGTGGTTTGGTTTTAGGAGGCTATTGTTTTCGTTAATTTTCAAACAATTGGAAAGGTACTAATGAGAAAGTTCATTTGTTATAATTATTTGTATGACACGAGCAGAACGTGCAATAAGAGGCTGTAAACACATGTGTATAGGAGTAGTAAGCTCCACTTATAGAGATTCTATTATATTCTAAACATTATAGTGCACTCTGGTCCTGTGCCCCTCCCTCCCTCCACAGCACAGTGAGGGATGAAAAAACTTTATTTACTCACCCGATTCCAGTGCTGATGTCCCTCATCCTCTGGGAGTACCTAATGCGGATGCGAGCACATTACATCCCCCTAATTGAATCAATGGTTTCCTATGGGGATATCCCTGACGCTGAATTCCAACATTATTTAGGGGACCCAGAGTCCAATAAACTCAGGAAGCGCCTCTAGTGACTGTTTAGTAGACAGGTACTAAAGGCTGCCTTAGTACTGCAATTGCAGTTTCTCAAAATCTGCAATGTTTTACATTGCAGGACAAAGAATGACAAGGACACTGCACCCAAACTACTTCAATGAGCCGAAGTGGTCTGGCTACTTATAGTGTTCCTTTTAACCCCTTAAGGCCATGTGACATGTCATGATTCCCTTTTGTTCCAGAAGTTTGGTCCTTAAGTGGTTAATCACCGCAACCTTTTGTTGTGGCAGAATCAATATTAACCATTTCGTAGTACTGTCACTGACATTAGCAAATTCCTTCTGTGCCTCAGTGCTTACAAGTTCTTTTTGAGGCCCCCATCCACATGAAAACAATGTTAACAAAAATAATAGAACTTCATTCACAGCCTCCTAGCACCATAACATTTGCTGAAGTAGTTATATATAATTAGTTACATTCTCTAAGCAGAGTTTTTCTTTTAGACTCCGCTTCAATGGATACCGACTTGTATGATGAGTTTGGTAACTACATCGGGCCAGAACTGGACTCTGATGATGAAAATGATGATGACATGGGGAGAGACGACAGGGATGCTGAAGTGGTAAGATGTTTTTAGTAAAAACATATAAATATGATTTGTACAGAATGCGTCACAATGAGCATTAACAGTATTAATAAAATCCTCGTGAGCATATTTATATAACAAACAGGATCTGGTCATCTTGTTGCAATGATTTCAAAACTATAGCCTGTGGACTCGTGGCACCCAGGATCTCAAAATGTGGTTCTGATCTGTCGATGGCGATGCAAGTGAACGTTATCCGTTACAGGATTCGTAAATAAAATTGTTTGTGGAAATTCAATGTTAGAGTGAAATTTATCAGTGAATATTGAAATTCAAGTGCAGTAGGTAATGGTGAAGCTGGGTGAAATTAACTTACTGATTGACCAATATGAATGGTGAAGAAATTAAGTACGGGATCCTGATTGTAAACAATAGATCTATTGAACCAATAGGATTCCAGGGATTCACATTAGAATTCCAGCAGAGTTCCTTTACTGATAAATAAGAATTGCCCTGATGTCTTGGTTGAATTACTGTGATCTTAGCAAGTCAAAAAGTCACATTGGCCAATGACTGCGAGTTTCCTTTCTTTTATTCAGTGCTAGCAATTTATGCAGTTTCACGCATTACAAGTTTTTTACCTCTTATGTTTGGCTGGTACAAACTGATTCATCAAGTGAGGACGGTAGGGCTTGTACTATTCCATCTCTGAGGGCAGGTAAACTACAAAAATAAAGCGAAGGTAGGAAGAATGTCTGATAGACCATCAGTAGCAAGCAGATTTAGACTTAAGGAATTGTTTTTACAGCACTCTGAATCCACTTGTATTGCTGAAAGTTATAGCAGCTGCTATTTGTAAAATCATCTTCTTTGTGATGCTCTCCCCTCCCCTCCCTTCAGTTAGTATGGATGATGGCGATATATGAGTTGTTTACCCATCCTAAGATGTCCCTTTAAACACCTGCCTGGCCTTTCACAATAGCATGTACTTTTTTTTTAAATTATTTTTATTTATTTATTCCTAATTGGAGAGTGCTTAACAGTTTATTTGTATCTTAAGATTTTCATCCATACTAATAACTTGTATCGTACAACTATTTCTAACTCCATTTTCCACCTTGGTACCCTGGCTGCAGGCTGAAGATGATGAGGATGATGAATACATGGGGGATCCAGATGAGGACCGTACAGGGATGGAAGTTGTGCTTCATGAAGATAAAAAATACTACCCCACTGCGGAGGAAGTATATGGCCCTGAAGTAGAGACCATTGTACAGGAAGAGGATACCCAGCCCCTCACTGGTGAGAGCGCCATCATAATTAGAAAACTATTTCAACTTCTCTTACCCTTACCTGCTTAGTACAAAGTCACTGGCTACAGTTTCTTGCGTTTTCTGTTATGTTAAATGGATCCATATATTTTTTTTTTTTCCTTACAGAGCCGATTATTAAACCGGTTAAAGCAAAGAAGTTTTCTATGATGGAGCAGGGTCTACCAACTACAGTGTATGCAATGGAGTAAGTGCCCAGCTTCAAGATTTTTTTTGGCAGTAGCAGTGGGGGTTGGGGTATTCACTCACTTCATTCATAATCATCCTTGTTGTCCATAGCTTCTTGGCTGATTTGATGGACAACTCTGAACTCATTCGGAACGTGACCTTATGTGGACATCTCCACCACGGAAAGGTAAAAATAAAATGCTGTTACAGTTTTTACACAGTTGTGAGGGCAAGGTTCAATTATCTTACATTTAATGAAATGTTTGCCATTTAAGACCATATTAACCTCTGCTTTTAAAATAACCTTGTCCTAAGTGTTCTTTGGCTTGACAATGATCCTGCAGGGGTCAAAACTTTGTCAGGTCATCACAACATAACTATCTATCTAGTTTGTTGGAGATATAGTGTCCATAGTCCAGGGCTCAAACATTCCACACAATGAGCATGCTTTAAAACTCCCAGGCTTGCAGTGGGAAGTTACTTCTAAGACCTGGCTAGTAGCCCAAGACTTGAAAATTTAAGACCAGTTATAGTCACTGTGACCTGTTATGAAAAAGTATTTATATGAGAACTTTGATAGCCACCAAGTAACTTGACATCCTCAGACATATCCAGAGCAAATAGACTGAAATCTCCCAAAAGAACAGAAAAGTTGCTTTTCACAACTCCACAATACAATAAATACAGAGCATTAGTAAGTACTGACTGTCACAGACCCTTCTGGAAAATGTTGTTCTAGGCATCAACAGCATCTCAACATAATGAAGATACCAGCTGTATTCCTCTCACAAAACAATAAACTGTCTACAATCAAGATGTCAATATACTCCTTGTTACTCATGTTAAGGGTAGCACATCCAGATAACTCTGTGTTTAAGCCAACTAATAAGCCCCTCATCTAAAATAGATATGTAAATAATTTAATTTACTCAAAAAGTCTGATGGCTTGTCACGAACCCTTTGTTCGATTTCACTTCCAGAAACAAACCAGTAATTCCTTTAATAGTAAGCTTGTCTGAGCATAAACAAATACATTTTTACTGAAAGGAAAAAAATATTACTTGTTTGGCTAACGCTATAGTGTTTCTCACCCTAGCTCTAACTAGGTGGCCCTTCTTCCCGTTTAAGATGATAAATGAAAAGTTTTTTTCCTTTTTTCCAGCGCCGTGGTTCCTTCATTGATATGAAGTGGTCAGGGTGACTATAGTATTCTGTGAATTTTATTGATCTTTCTTAAAGGAACACTATAGTCACCTAAATTACTTTAGCTAAATAAAGCAGTTTTAGTGTATAGATCATTCCCCTGCAATTTCACTGCTCAATTCACTGTCATTTAGGAGTTAAATCACTTTGTTTCTGTTTATGCAGCCCTAGCCACACCTCCCCTGGCTATGATTGACAGAGCCTGCATGAAAAAAAAAACTGGTTTCACTTTCAAACAGATGTAATTTACCTTAAATAATTGTATCTCAATCTCTAAATTGAACTTTAATCACATACAGGAGGCTCTTGCAGGGTCTAGCAAGCTATTAACATAGCAGGGGATAAGAAAATCTTAATTAAACAGAACTTGCAATAAAGAAAGCCTAAATAGGGCTCTCTTTACAGGAAGTGTTTATGGAAGGCTGTGCAAGTCACATGCAGGGAGGTGTGACTAGGGTTCATAAACAAAGGGATTTAACTCCTAAATGGCAGAGGATTGAGCAGTGAGGCTGCAGGGGAATGTTCTATACACCAAAACTGCTTCATTAAGCTAAAGTTGTTCAGGTGACTATAGTGTCCCTTTAATGCAACTGGAGAGGGTCTAGGTTATTGCCTGCAAGCATTAGGTGTCCGAATCTAATTCATATTACATTATTTGTTTATTAAGCAGGGTCTGTTTTTCATATTTAATTGTGGCATTAAATATGAACTAGAGATCATGGGGAAAAAAATGTCCTATTGTTTGGGCAACTATAGTTATTCACAACAAAAATCACACTAGAGTCATAAGTGTTGACTTTTACAGTATATGTTATGGCTGACCAGTTCACCATTTCCAGCCCTTACATGAATCTTAAACCACTGAAATATGTTAACAATAAATCTCTTTAATATAAATATTTTCATCTTAATACAACAGTATTCATTTCATTGGATTTTTGGGTGGATTTAAAAAAATAAATAAATTTGTACTGTACTTTCTATAGCTGCAAACCAATTGAGCGATCCGATTAGAGTTTTGTTGCTTTGCTCTTCAGGGACCTTCTGTGAAGTTCTGTGAGCTTCAAAGTCTAAAACATTTTTGATTGTCTTGCAATAAAGTTCTTTTGGTTTAATATTCTGTATGTTTCTTACACTGCAAAAGTGTGACTTCACAGTGCTAGATTAAATAAAACAAGATCCCTAGCTGTTCCAGAACTACAACGCCGGTGATGCCCTGGCAATACTAAGGCTGTCCGTGCATTAAAGGATTTGTAGTTTTGCTTGCTGCTAGGTATCTGCATTTTGGGCCCATTGTATATCTGGTGGTTGTTTAATATTAATCTGATTATGGTGTCCATTTCCACAGACCTGCTTTGTAGATTGCTTAATTGAACAAACTCACCCAGAAATTCGGAAGCGTCATGATCAGGATGTAAGTAGCATTGCTTCCTCTCTTTTAATGTAAAGCAGTACGTATTCTATTGAGAGCTCAGTTGGCCAGTGCACCAATTGTTGTACCATATCACTTTGTTTTACAAGTTATATTCCTATCCACGTCCATTTAACGAGCAGCATTAATGTCTGTTCACATGCCTAGGATTTAAAATAAATAAAGTGGGAAGGGGTAGAATGTTCTAAAAGGTTTTAAAAACCTTATGTGGATAACCACTCTCCATAATATATATCTCCTTCTTAAAAGAAAACTAGTACTTGTTACTTTTATCTATTAACCAGGTTTTCTGTTTTGTTATAGCTCTGCTACACAGACATCTTATTTACAGAACAAGAGGTAAGAGATGTAATTATTAGCTCATCTTGATTTTTGAGCAAACATTAAACTATTATTTTTTTTATTTTATTTTTGGCGGAGTATTAATTTTCTGTCCCTGTCATGCAAAACGTTCCTTCTTCATGTTTGTATTGTTTGCTAATTGCCCAGATCCAAAACGCACCTTTTGCCGTTCATATTAATGAAGTAGGCAAGCAATTGACAGTGATTTATGGCCTGTCTCTTTACACATTTCAATCAAATCAGTCAAGTTGCTGATTCATAAAGGGACTATCCTGGGTATATTTTACCAACCAATTTTTAGTACATTATTTAACTGTACTCTGTTGTTGTTGTTTTTTTATTATTCAATTTTTTTTTTTTTCTATTTTTTTTTTATCCCTTTCTTCCCTTTGATATGATTATTGATCAGTTATGATGGCGGATGTGATCCTTACAGGAACTGTCCTGGTCCCCCAATGCTGTCCTTGATTAAAGGGACATTCTAAGCACCATGTGACCTTTTAACATGTTTTCTGTATTCTCGTCTCCTAGAGAGGGGTTGGTATTAAGAGTACACCTGTGACCATCGTTCTTCCCGACACAAAGGACAAATCTTACCTGTTCAATATTATGGACACACCAGGTAAGATGACACCTATCTTGCTCTATCTTGATAGTTACATTACACTCCCTATCTGATGTGATTGGCTTACAGGAAGAGCTATTATAGACATTTCAAGGCATAAACATCTGCTGTGGCTGTAGTGGTTATGTTGATGGGAGTGTCCTATAGTGTACCTTTACTGTAAACATTTTCCGTAATCTGCTTCTGTGAATATTCTTTATTTGCCACATTTTAATTGCTTAAGTTGACTTAAGTAGAACTGAAGAAAAATGCAGATTGTTTTTAGCACATGAGATTGGGAGTAGTAAATGAACCTTTATAACTGCGAGCACGTCTCTTCTTGTATCACCAGGGCATGTGAATTTCTCAGACGAGATAACTGCTGGATTTCGGATCTCCGATGGGGTAGTGCTCTTCATTGATGCAGCAGAAGGGGTAAGGTTATTGAATATATGGATATTTATATCAACGCTCAAATTTTCTACTAGCCACTGGCAAGTGGTAATCACCGCTGGTTGAACATGCGGTGGCCAGCAATTTTTAAAGACTAGCTAGTAGCATAGGATTTCAAATGTTATGCTTTGTGTATATTTAGATAGGGTTTTGTATTTGGGCTAATATATTGGGGTTTTTTTTTTTTTTAATTTAAAGAATGCCCAGGAAGGTGCTAACAGTACCGTCCTATACATAGATAAGCGTTTGTTACAGGTTTGGTTTGAAAGTGCTGCGGAATAAGCTGGCGCTATATAAATCCCAATAATAATAATAAATAGGAAATAGAGAGATGGCAGACTAATGAGATTTTAATGTTTTCTTCCAGCCTATTCCAAGTTGTGTAGCTCTGTGTGGGAAAGTGGCATGAATCATTTGCTTGTTGTAATTTAGAAAGGAAAGTAACGTGCTTTAACTCTGCTTAGGTTGCCTTTATACAATACATGTAAATAATACGTAAAATATTTATTTTTAACATTCGTGTTCCTTCGAGTAGTCGTCGTGGGCATATTTACATAAAATCAAGCTATCTGACGGTACTACAAGATATGTAAAGGTATATGGTGCACACAGTTTCTGGGTCTTGTAATGATGAATATTTTTTTCACACCACCTCCTCTTTGTGACACAGCTGTCTATTCTGACGTTTTCTTTGGCAGGTGATGCTGAACACAGAGCGCCTGATAAAGCATGCAGTACAGGAACGCTTGGCTGTCACAGTCTGCATCAACAAGATAGATCGACTCATTCTGGAGCTTAAGCTGCCTCCTACAGATGCCTATTACAAGCTGCGTCACATCGTGGATGAGGTTAACGGCTTACTGAGGTATATCATGCCTTTCTACTGTGCACCTTCCTATGATACACTGCTGGGGGATGTACAAATGTTATATCCCGTCCACCTCCTTTATGGATTATTACACAGCAGTCTGACAAGTGAGTCAACACTTCCCACTGAATGTGTCATGCAGCTGTGGAATTGAAAAACCACATGCCCAAAAGTCTATACTTCCATAATGCATATTCTTTCTCACTAAAGTCAACCCTCCCCATACAGTACAAGTAAAGACTGCACTTTTATTTTTAGGTGAGCACTATGCACACCTATGCAGGTTTTTTTTAAACCTTATTAATGTTCTTTACATTTTTAAAAAATGATTTAGTTTAGCGCTATAAGCCCACCTCTTCTGCTTCCCCTGCCAACCAGCAATGTTCCCCCAAAATATATAGTTGTAGATAATGTTTAATTAAGGTTGTCTTGAAGTTGAAGTCCAGCTGTTGGCTTTCTATAGAGGAAAGCTGACAGTGGAACTATATCTTAATTAAAGGGATACTATTTGCACCCAGACCGCTTCAGCTCATTGAAGTGGTCTGGGTGTAATGTCCCTGTCCCCATAATCCTGCAATGTTAATTATTGTAGTTTCTGAGAAACTGTAATAATTACGTTCAAGACTAAGACTGCCTCTTGTAGCTGTCAGACAGTCACTAGAAGCCCTTCCTGCTTGCTAGGTGACTTTTGGTCGCATAACTGGTGTTGGATGTCCTCACGGTCTGCATGAGGACATCCAGCGTCCGTAAAATCCTCATAGAAGGCATTGCAGGTGGAGAGGGTGTGCAGAGGGATGTATGGTTCTAGGAATCCAGATTTGTATTTCTAGCACTATAGTATCTCTTTAAACTCTTGAAGTGCCAATAAATCTCAGTAGTATATGTCTTAAAGGGTTAAAGCCTAACTGGGTTCCTTGGACACAGTTTGAAAACTTGCTGTAGTGTGTTGGTGCTCGGCTTCTCCATTAAAGTATTTTAGAATGCGTTATATTTATATAGGAATGAGTCATATACAGCTTGGATTGTCCTTTTAATGCCTTCACTATTTTAGAGAATGAAAATATTTTGAAAGTAAAATGATGCTCTTCCATGTTTGTGCTCTGTGAGTATAGATGATGGCTTTCTCTGACTCTTTTTTTTATTTTATACCTTTCTTGTAGCATGTATTCGACAGATGAAAATCTTATTCTTTCCCCCCTCCTTGGGAATGTGTGCTTTGCCAGCTCACAGTACAGTATCTGTTTCACCCTCGGCTCATTTGCCAAAATCTATGCTGACACATACGGTGAGTATATCAGAAATGAAAGACCGACTTTATATTCTGCCATTAAAGGGACACTATAGTCACCAGAACAACTACAGCTTAATGTAGTTGTTCTGGGGAGTACAATAGTTCCATTCAGGCATTTTCATGTAAACCCTGCCTTTTCAGAGAAAGCTGTCCTTTTTGTTGTTAATCTTTTTATTTATTTTCTGTGAGGCAGGTGACATAAATTATCAAGAGTTTGCAAAACGACTATGGGGTGACATCTACTTTAACCCAAAAACGTAAGTACCTTGTAATATAAAGCTGGACATAAGTCCTGGTAATCTCGAACAAAGTAATATATTTTAGTAGTAGTGGTTGTTGTATTAGTGATTTAAAAAAAAAAAATTTTTTTTTTAAATATCACAAACCTTTTTTGCAGGGCATTACAATTATACTGTATGTATAATCTATAACAAGTATCATCTGATATTTTTCTTTTTTTTTTTTTCTCTAAACCCTTGTATTTAATTACATTGGTAGAACTGGATAGGCTATAATTAAGAATTTGCGGTACTTGTAGTTAAATGTCAGCCAGGATGTTATTAGTCAACCATCTAGAGCAGGGTTTTCCAAACTCCAGCCCTCCAGATGTTGTTGAACAACAATACCTATGATTCTTTGAATTAAATAGCCAGAGAATCATATGTGTTGTAGTTTAGCAATATCTTGAGGGTCAGAATTTGGAGAACCTTGATTTAGAGCATAGTCTTGCTGTGCTACTCAAAAACTACATTCTAACAAGCCACTAGGGGGCAGCCTGAGGCAAGGTTTGCCAGACTAGTGAAACCTATGATGTTTTGTCAAAATTAGCTTTAAATACGATTCTATTATTAACTACAAGTCAGTGCCTGGCAGGAAGCTCTTTACCTGCCTTGCATCTCCTTCCGATGGTTATAACTCAGTTTATGGCTCCCCCCATCTGTTGTATAGCTTCCTGTTATCGGACTTTCATAAGAGCCATTTTTGGACGGGGAGTGATTTGATTTTGTTTCTGATTTATTTTTTTTTTCTACAGTAATAAGATCTGTATAACATAGCTGTGATGCTTGTATGCTTCTAACTTATCCTTGGATAATGTTATTCTATTTTATTTAATTTTATTTTATTTTTGCACGCTAATGCACAATTGTTGTAATTCATGTTTTCCATCTCTTTCCAGCCGCAAGTTCACCAAGAAAGCCCCAACCAGCAGCTCCCAGCGCAGTTTTGTAGAATTTGTCCTTGAACCACTTTACAAGATTTTGGCTCAGGTCAGCACTGGTGTTTTATTTATTGATATGTGTGTGTGTGTATGTGTGTGTGTGTGTGTATATATATATATATATATATATATATATATATATATATATATATATATATATATATATATATATATATATATATATATATATATATATTATTTGTGTAAGGGGCAAATAGCCGTATATGGAGTAAGGATCCAGCATAAGCGTAGGATAGTATAAAGGGAGCAAGTCGGTTGTGGTGTGCCGAGACCGACGATACGGTAGGCCTGTAAATAAAGAGGGCCCACCAAGGAGTAAGAAAGTAAAGTAAATGGAAAGAAAAGAGAAAGTGTTGAAATGAGGAGTGGGTGGGAGGGTCATTCTGATTCTGACCTCAAGCGATATGAGTCAGGTAAGGGGTGTCCCTTATATAGGGGAGTGAATTAATTTAAGCCCCTCCCACAAATACAGGCCAAACGGCCTTAATACTTGTGTAAGGGCAAAATAGCCGTATATGGAGTAAGGATCCAGCATAAGCTTAGGATAGTGTAAAGGGAGCAAGTCGGTTGTGGTGTGCCGATACCGACGATACGGTAGGCCTGTAAATAAAGAGGGCAAAAATGAATAATCAAAGATTTAATACAGTCAACAAATATATACAAATTAACCAGACATTTCCTTAAAAGCATTACAGTATTTAATTCCTGAAAGGATTTTGAAGGTAGGAATCTAGGACCGAAAGTGGACACCATTTGTTGTGGGTAGGATAGTATGTTATCTCTACTGTTGGTGCGTGTTGACTCGTTTCGGAATGTGATAGAGCCAATAGGTAATGATATATGTGTTTACGTACGTGGGATCGTTGAAGACAATGATCTGTCTGAGTGGTGGTGATGGTAGTGGATTCTCTGGCCTGAGAAAGGCATAAAAGGCAATGTGCATAGCTGGTAATGGCCGACTTGGTAGTGTAATTGAATGGTTGTAGATCTAATATATATAATATATTTTTTTATTATTATTTTTGTCTCCTCTTATTTTGTATATTTCTTTCTGGTGTTTAACTGTCTCTGGTTTCCATTATTCTGCAGGTTGTAGGAGATGTAGACACTACTCTACCACAGACCTTGGAAGAGTTGGGTATCCATCTAACCAAAGAGGAATTAAAATTGAACATCCGGCCTTTGCTTAGACTTGTCTGTAACCGCTTCTTTGGAGAGTTCACAGGTAAGTCATAGTAGCACAGCAGTTTATCTGTCTACCTCCATCTCGTTGTTGTTGTTTTTTTGTTCTAACCTCAGTTTAACCACCCAGCCTTTTTTGCTTCCGTCTCACTGCCATCTTTTTTTCAATAGGTTTTGTTGATATGTGTGTCCAGCATATCCCTTCCCCCAAGGCTGGAGCTAAAGCGAAGATTGAACACACCTACGCTGGAGGCATTGATTCTGAGCTGGGAGAGGGTATGGGTGAATGTGACTCTGATGTGAGTAAGGACGAGACTTTGATGAACATATTATTGTATTACAACTATGGCAGTGGGACTTTATTTTTATAATCTTATGTTGTTTCACTCCATTAGGGACCCTTGATGTGTCACACCACCAAGATGTACAGCACAGACGATGGTGTTCAATTCCATGCATTTGGACGGGTGCTTAGTGGGACAATCCATGCTGGGCAACCAGTAAAGGTACTTGGAGAGAACTACACACTGGAAGATGAGGAGGATTCCCAGATCTGCAACGTAGGAAGACTGTGGGTGTCTGTGGCAAGGTGAGTGTGTGGATTAGCATGTGAGGCAGAGAAAAGTAGGACCTAAACTCTTTAATGTGATCTCAGTATTTCTAATTTTATTTTATTATATCTGTTTTGGTGAACCGTGACGGTGCTGTTCTCTATCCAACTCAATGTGACCTTTCTCCCTCTGCAGATACCACGTCGAAGTAAACAGAGTTCCAGCTGGTAACTGGGTGCTGATTGAGGGGGTGGATCAACCGATTGTGAAAACGGCTACCATCACTGAACCTCGGGGAAATGAGGAGGTAAAGAGCAGGGCTAGCAAAGGACTCATCTTACTTGTATTTTGAACACTTGCTAAGGAGCTATAATTATTGACTCTTCTCACATATATATATATTACCAGACCGTAGTAATTTCAATGCACTCTTGGTATGCTTTTTTCCCAAAAAATGTACCTATTATATTGTAGGAATGTGAAACTTGTTCACGTAGCTAAGGTTTTGCTCTAGCAACAGGTCACGTTAGAAATATATTGTACAAGTGCTGTTCGTGCTTTGATGTCTGTCAGCTTGTACTGAAATTAGAACCGGTACATCTTAGATTTCCTTTCAATTCCATTTTTTGAATCTTCCTTTAAAATCCTGAAATAAGCTCGTAATTCTTGGGTGTTTTAAAGGAATAATGTTATAGTTTTGCTTCTTTTGTCATTTTAGGCGCAGATCTTCCGGCCGTTGAAGTTTAACACCACGTCTGTGATTAAGATTGCAGTGGAACCAGTTAACCCATCAGAGTTGCCTAAAATGTTAGATGGGTTGAGGAAGGTCAACAAGAGCTACCCTTCTCTCACTACCAAGGTACCCTTTCCAAATGTTCCTGACATTTAGCTTGTTACAGCATCTGCAGCATTCTTCATTACCTTAATGCACCATCCCTCACCTTCCATACCACAACGTACAGTTGTCCTACCTCATGGTCTTTACTTCCTGATGGTAATAACCAGGTGTTGGCTTTCTGTGCTTCAGCCCACACCCTTCATCTTATTCCTTACTATATCTTCAACTGCTGTTGTACTCTGTTCATTAATCACATAGCATTGCAAAATGCATTAAACAGGATATAATAATCTGTCCCGCTGTGTTGTGGATTTGTGTTTTTTGTTTTTGTTTAGTAATAAAATTGCATGTTCACCTTGGTGAAGTATCTCTTTGCTTGTAGTAACTAGAGGCCTACATGTCCCCTTTACACCATTAATTAGTTTGGCCTTATCTGTTCTTGTTTGATAACAGGTTGAAGAGTCTGGTGAACATGTTATTTTAGGCACAGGAGAGCTGTATTTGGACTGTGTAATGCACGATCTCCGAAAGATGTATTCTGAAATTGATATTAAGGTGAGAATTGGAGTAAATGAGTGCAGAGAACAAATGGGTGCTACCCTGAGGACATGGCTAATATTGTAATGGTCTTTCAGGTAGCAGATCCCGTGGTCACCTTTTGTGAGACTGTGGTGGAAACGTCTTCTCTGAAGTGCTTTGCTGAAACCCCAAATAAGAAGTAAGAACCTGGAATTATATTTATATCCCAGCTGGGAAGACTCTTGAGTAATCTCTTATCAACCAGCTGCTTTCTTTTGTTCCTTGCTCCATATTTCTCTTTCTCTATTTCTGTTTATTTTTTCTATCTTTCCATATCACGCGCTGTTAAAAAAAAAAAAAAAAAAAGCATACAAATTTGTTCTCTTGTTTGCAGGAATAAAATCACAATGATCGCAGAGCCCTTGGAAAAGGGTCTGGCTGAAGACATTGAGAATGAAGTAGTGCAGATTTCCTGGAACAGGTGAAATTTGGAAGCTGGGTCTGAACTTTGTAGAGAAAATAGAATAGATTAGCTCTTGAAGAAATGAGCATTGTATGGTGTGATGTCAAATGGAAGACGATGTTTGTTTTATACAAACCCATTTGCTTTATTTGCATAAAATAATTTGACTTTATATAGAATTTAATGCAATATTCGGTCACATCCATTGGTCATCAACCATACTTTGTATGAAAATTATTGAATATTTTTTTAATGATTTATTTTAAAGTCTGTTTCTGGTTTTAACTTCCTCTGTGTGGAGATGCTTCACAAAAATAGTATTTCATCATAATCCCAATGTTCATGACCGGTCTTGTCGAGCATAAAATAAGACAAGCTATTAAGACATTGTTCAGGAAAGCTACTACCATGTTGATAAAAGACTGGCTTCAGGGCCATCATTAATATTGATTGGACCATGGGCAAGCATTTGCTTGGGTCCTCCTCGACCCTTCCCCGTTTGCCACGCATTAAAGACCCCCCTGACTGGCTGAAGTATGAGAGGATATTACTAAATTTTTTTTTGTATCACTTTTTATTCATAGCAACCATTTTTTGTCTCAACAGGAAGAAGCTAGGAGAGTTTTTCCAGACTAAATATGACTGGGATTTGTTGGCTGCTCGTTCTATCTGGGCATTTGGACCAGACACCACAGGACCAAACATTCTTGTGGATGACACATTGCCCTCTGAGGTGGGTGCCATGAAAAGTCTTGTGTTTGTGTTTTCAGCCAGCCAATAGAGACTTTTATTTTCCTTAAGACCTTTGATTTTGAAACGGTCTACGCAATTGACATCATCACACACAAGCACTGCTAATGCTTTAAGGATTTTCATAGACATGCATAGAATTTACAGACTGCTACAATTGCCAGACATGCACCTTTGATCTGCAATTCTTCTCTGTGAGAAGCATCTGATGGCACCAGAGATCCTGTATACTGAGCTTATCATGCAGGTTCAGGCTGCTGAGAGGCATCTGTACCAACACTGGTTAATATTTATTTTTTAAACTTGGCATTGTCATTGGCTATTAATGTATCTCTACCTTAACAAAGTGCCAAGTATTGTGCAAGGCATTGTAGGTTGCAGCACCCAGAATAGTGTGTGTCTGGGTATTCGAGCTCGTTGAACAGAATTGCACAATTTTGCCACCACAATGTAGAGACTGCATTTTGACATTTCCTTGAAGTTTATCTACACATGCCCACTCTTCATTTTATTCTCACAGGTGGATAAGGCTTTACTGGGGTCTGTGAAAGACAGCATTGTGCAGGGATTCCAGTGGGGGACAAGAGAAGGGCCACTATGTGATGAACGTGAGTATCTGAGTGGATTATCTTTTGTTTACGTTTATGGAAATTACAAAAATGCTAGATTGTTTTTTTTTTTTCTTAAAATTTCTCTTCTCTCCTCAGTCATCCGGAATGTGAAGTTCAAGATCCTCGATGCTGTAATTGCACAGGAGCCTCTGCACCGAGGAGGGGGTCAGATCATCCCCACTGCGCGCAGGGTGGTGTACTCTGCATTTTTGATGGTACAGTTTTCTTTTCGCATACTCTTTTCATGTCATCTCCAACAATACCTTTATTTTTTCAGCGAAAGCAATATACTATTTTTGAGACTCTGACGATAAGTACTGTCTAAACTCCTCCTATTTAAGATGGGCCTCCTTGATTTAGACCTGTGTTGGAACCAATGTAGTACCAAAGGCTTATTTCCCCACCTATAATGGGAATGTCATATCACCCTTTTTAGTTATGAGACTCTTAACTCTTGATCAAAACCTTCAGACACTTACCAGAGCACGGGATAAATTAGTTGTATAATTATTCCTTTTCACAAGGAGGGTGATAACGGACCTCTAGGGGATACTCAGCAAACATACTATTGCTAAAGTCGTATTCTAAATGTGGAAGTCAGCAGAGATGGACAAACTCGTAAACCTGTTCCATGATACAGTCAAACCAATTATAAGGTCTGGGACCATTGGCTTCAAAGTTCACAATTTCTACTGACCAATAATCCTTAACATTCCATTCCTACAAAATCACATGCTAAAACTCCACTTTTATGATGACATTCTCAACTACTTTTTTTTTTTTTCTCCTCTTCTCTCTACTGTGGACCATCTTTTTCCAGTTTTTCTTTTTTCCCTTCTATTCAATATAAATATTTTTATTTGTCATTTTTTTCTTGTGCTTTCAAGTATAAAGTTCATTATCACAATTGTTCCATTAGTTTTTACTATTGACACTTTGGCATTGTAGCTATTGATACCTCATGTTCCTGTAAGAGTCTTTTAACCCCTTAAGGACACACGATATGTGTGACATGTCATGACCCAGGACATACTTGAAAACGAGAGAAATCTCAATGTATCTTTCCTGGTAAAATATTTTATAAATAAATAAATTCCATTTTATTCCAGAAGTTTGGTCCTTAAGGGGTTAAAATGGCACAGTTTCTGCTCATTGTTTATTTTTATGTTCTTTGCTCTTTTTCCCCCCTATAATGGAGTACTGCTAGTCTTATAGAACTAGATAAAAACAGAATTTAAAAAAAGAAAATAATAATATGGTCTAAACTTGGAATGATAGTATGCAGCTATGAACTTACGGTTTATCAGCCCAACTAAGACAGGAAGTACCACAGGCACCTGACAGAACAAGTGTGGTAAAAGGTTTGACTTATTACCAGTGGATGGCGCTCACGGTCTTCTGTCACCATAACCGCTTTTGCACTCTGTAGTGTCTAGCGTGTCCCTTTAAATACATTCTGGAATGAAAGATTGTCAGAATAAAATGATAAAACAAATACCTCTGTATAAACTTGTTCGCCTTCCTGCAATATCTCCTCCAACTGTACTAAATAAATCAGGAACGTAATAACTGTTAAATTCTACAGACTACTCAGGCTAGCTTTGTATAATGCATGAATTGTGGGCATGCTCTGTCCTATGTAAATCTGAAACTGTCATTAGGTGGATAAACAGCCGCGACTGATCCTCTGGAAATTCATATTCCTATGCCAAAGGGAAAATATACATTTCTGCAGGGCTCGGAGCAATAAAATAAACACTTGAACAGAGCTGAATGTTTTCAAATCTCCTGTAACAATCTCTTTTATCATTGAATTACGTTACTCTCTGTACACCTGTTCCTGTCTCTCTGTAACCATTTCTATATCATACGCCTTTCACTCCGTGGGATTTATTTACTGTACTTGAAATTGATGTGATTTGGCAAAAAAAATGTAAAATAAAAATGGCAAAGTGTAGGCAAAAATAGCTGAACTGGAAAAAAAAAACATCTTCTTTTTCCATGAAATTTCTCTATGCCCAAATTTTGTAATAAAGTTTTTTTTTACTTCTTTACTGTGTTCTCATCTGACTCCTTTTTTCTCAATTTTCCTTTTCTTCTTCCATTCCTAACATCCATTATTTATTTATTTTTTTCATATCCAGGCAACTCCACGTCTCATGGAACCATATTACTTCGTAGAAGTACAAGCCCCCGCAGATTGTGTGTCTGCTGTGTACACTGTTTTAGCCAGGAGAAGGTGTGTCTCATCAATTTTTCTTTTTTTTTTCTTCTTTCAATTATTATTGTAAATTAGTGTTTTATCGCAATCCAGGAGCACATGTAGCAAGCAATACAATGGGGGACACAGGTCCGTATGAATAAACAAATTACAGGTTTGTAGTCACACAGGGCTATTAAATTATTTCTGGAAATAATAAGGAAGAATAAGCAAAGGAGTGTCAATTTATTATTTTTGTAATGTTTTTTTTTGTCTGATTAAGTTTCTAGTAGGTCTTTAATCTTTTTCTCTTCCTTCCAGAGGTCACGTCACACAAGATGCCCCCATACCTGGATCTCCTCTCTACACTATCAAAGCGTTCATCCCAGCAATAGATTCATTTGGTTTTGAGACAGATCTGCGTACACATACACAGGGACAGGCTTTCTCTCTCTCTGTCTTCCACCACTGGCAGGTACGTTGAAAATGTGTAAAAAGCCTTCCTGAAGAGCTTAATGCACCTCTGTCACCTTTTTCAGGTTTTTTGCATACCTGGTGACATTGCCGCTTAGTGGGCTCTGGCACGGAGGTCCAGCAGAGGTGAGTTGTACTTACCTGATGGAATCCCTTGTGGGTCCTGCTACCTTCTTTTTTCAGCACCTGGTGCTTCATCCACCATGAGCCACACCAGTGCTGTACTTTTGCACATGTACAAGAATCCAACCCGAATGTCCATGGAGGGTCCCTTGAGAATGTGCGTTCCTCCAGAGACCATGCCCTAAGTGACAAAACTTGACAGCAGAAGCTCCACCTTTTGTCAAGTTTTGTCAACTTGAGGATTCTACAAAAACATTAAAGTAGTCTCTGCTTTGTCATGTATATTTTGGCTGCGTAAGAATTCCAGTCACACAGTGTTTATGAACATTTCATAAAGATTTAATCTCTGTGAAATTAGCAATTTTTTAAAATATTTTTTGGGGGGCACCAGAGCCTCTTTAAGTGTATAGACTAAAACATGTTTGTCTTTGAATTGAAAATAACATTGCTCTTGAAATATAGAGGGACTAGAGATTTTATGGTCCATTCTAGTGGATGATCATTTTGAATTCTGATTTTGTATTTTTATTTTTTTTAGTAAATATCTGGAGAGCTGCATGCTGCAGTCCATTTTTAGATTTAATAATCTAATTTAGCTTTAAGCTGAAAGAACACACTATAACAAATGATTTCCTCTATCTTATGATAGATCGTGCCTGGAGATCCACTGGATAAGAGCATTATTATACGACCCCTGGAACCACAGCCAGCTCCACACTTGGCCCGCGAGTTCATGATAAAGACAAGACGTAGGAAGGTATGAGAATGGGGAGAGCGTCAGATACTTGGTCGGGAGGGCAGATTGATTCTTTTAAATATTCTTCTAGAATATGAATTAATACTTGGATGGACCTTTTTAGTCTATTCTACAAAAATATTCTTACAGGAGCACTCTCTAACATTGTCAGATGTATTTCTTGTTTGCTTAGATGTATTTAAACTTCGCATTGAGGACACATGGCGCATGACCATTGATGCTAAAGTGCCACTAGATGGCAGTGTTTTCTGACAAGTGTAATTGCTGCTGTTTCCGAAAACGGCAGTGTTTTACATTGTTCTATAAAAGGGACAAGATTTATGCATCAAAAGCGATTCATTAAGATGCGGTGGTTTTGGTACACAATGTCCAGTTTTAAGCTATATTTTAAAAGCCGTGCAAGCTATTCATTTTGTATATGGAATATTCTTTGTTTCTACCCTGTTTTCTTCATCGAGTTAACCAGATACCTGTTATTCATGCTGCTGCCATAACTATACATTTATAGATTTGCTTAATATTCTGTTTTCTTCTAGAGCAGAGCTTCCCAAAAGGCAGATTCCCTAATGTTGTAGAACTACAACGCCCACGATGCTTTGCATATCTTGAAAATGACAAAACTTTGTGGAAGCTGTAGTTTTTAAAACCTCTGGGGATCCACCTTTTGGGCACCCCTGTTCTAGAGTATATCAATGCTCTTCCTCTAATCCACAAGTTAATTCAGTATTCCCCCTGTTTATTTCTATCTTCCCCTTGTTGCAGGGTCTGAGTGAGGATGTAAGTATCAGTAAGTTTTTCGACGATCCTATGTTGCTGGAATTGGCCAAGCAGGATGTGGTGCTGAACTACCCTATGTGAGGAAAATGAATGGAAACCATCAAGACATCAGCATATTCTGGTCTTCAATCTATCAGATGTCATGCACCATATTCTACACTGGTTCACAACAGAAGTCTGGGTTAGTTGCCCGTAGTCCTGACCTGGCTGATATCATAAGACTATTATTTTTTTTTCTGCTGAAGACCTGCTTATGTGTAGAAACATTGTGTTCCACTCAGTAAGAGGTACAAGAAGGTCCAGTGTTCTTATTGCTTTTCTTACGGAACAGAAACGAAACTCTTAACCATTAAAAGGTTAACATGATGATGTGTACATATTGTTTATTTTTACATTTTAAAATAAACTTTACTATTACTTCCTGTGTTTGACTTTTCAATTACAATCCATCTATCGTCGACAACAGTTTACTAAGTGTAAAAGCTCATCGCTGGTTGATTTATTTTGTCTGTTTCTTTATTTTGACAATCAGGGATTGAACCAAACATTTTGTGCTATTTTCTCATGCAGTCTACTTTTCTGTTGTAGAATCACAAGATATATAATTCCTAAAAGGGACACTAGTCAACAGAACAACTAAAGCTTAATGTAGTTGTTCTGGTGTGTATTGCATGTCGCTGCAGGCATTTTAATGTAATGTACATTGCTGCCTATGGACACCTCGAGTGGCAGTCCCTCAGATGGCCACTAGAGATGCTTCCTGGGTGCAGCACTGACCTTCAGCGTCTCCATGCTGAACATTCCATATAAAGATGGTGACTGGAGTAGTGTGGCGTTTGGTGCGCATGCGCAATAGCCTCCCAGTGCTTTACCATGGGAAAGCATCGGATTGTCTGAGATCATCAGAATTGATGATCTCAGCCAAGCTGGTAGATCAGGGGCGGAGCCAGTGCCATCAGACCCCTGCAGCGCTGGAATAAAGGTGAGTAAACTCTCCTTTCACATAGGTTACAGGTGGGCCGGGAAACCTAAATAGTGATATTACAGCTATAGTATCAGGAATACATGTTTGTATACCTGTCACTATAGTGTTCCTTTAAGGTTCCTGCTGTCACTATAGTGTTCCTTTAAGGTTCCTGTTGGGATAAGCAACCTATTGGGTTGTACAGGCTGCTTGAGTGGCTCTGTAATTCATAATCAGTCCCAGGGTATCTAGCCCTAATTAATACGCCTATATATTTTTCAAGGGTAAAATTATGCAGGGGGGCAGTGTCAAATATCTTTTAACACAATTGAAATGGAATGCAACACAGCATACCTATGGTGATGTGCCTTTGTTTTTTTTTCCCACTGTTATTATGTCTGGCTCCTTAAGTTCCTGCCACTCTCCTGCTCAAGAAGTGCTAGTCGGGTCCCTTCCTGATACCTGGGGCCTCTGCTTCTTTTGCCCTATCCTTAATCTGTCACTGATAAAAACTCTAAATTTTTGCAGTAGGTAATTAGGAGGTGAATGAAGACTGGAAGAGCCATAGTAGGGCACGTGTATTCAATTATATTATCACTCCAGCTGATTGCCTCCTTTTCAGGTATATTCTTGGATGATAATGGTTTGCCTCAGCTCTTCCCTTCCATGCTGGGATTTAAAAACATGAAACTCTGCAATTACTGAGAGCAGAATTTTCCAATTTAAGCTTCAGAGAATTCTGTGTTAATACTACATGCATTGGCAGATCTCTTTATTAAACCCCTAATCCTTCAACACAGTTTTAAGTTGCATACATATTCAGATTACGTGTGCTGACTGTACCTGACAAATCGAAGTCTGTGTCCATGTCAAAATTGTTCTCGTGAGGCCAGTAAACCTAAAATCCAATGAAACAAAAGTATAAAGACAAAATCTGGTCGCACAACATGTAGGTGATGGGAATTATTTATTCGCCAGTTGATTTAACTTAACCCCTTAAGGACCAAACTTCTGGAATAAAAGGGAATCATGACATGTCGAACATGTCATGTGTCCTTAAGGGGTTAAACAGGTGTGTCTATGAATATATAAGCTTCATCTCTTTGTTCGCTGGATCATCAAACAATATCAACGTTTATTTAGGAGAGTTCGAAAAATAGACTTGAAATGTAATGAACTTTTTTTTTTTTCCGGTAACCGCTTGGTCTGAATTAAATCATTTTCACTCCTTTGTAGAATGTTCTTTTTTCAGTTGTTCGCTCACAGTCGATCTCTCCAATGATTGTCTTTGCCTGTACTCCTTGTAGATTGAGTAGGATGTCCCTGCATATAGACAGAGTACAGAAAATGTGTATATTAATAATACACAGAATGAGACGGCAGATGAGAACCTTTTGGCCCATTTGGTTTGCCCAATTTTCATTAGTCACTGGCCTTATCTTACATCTAGGATAGCCTTATGCCTATCCCACGCATTCTTAAACTCCCTCACTGTGTTAACCCTTTACCACTTCATCTGGAAGGCTGTTCCATGCGTTCATTACCCTTTCTGTGAAGTAATATTTCCTGATATTATTTTTGTGGCAAACCTAGCCACTTGGACAATAACTAGAGACTGTGCCTTTAAGGGTTGCCACTAGGTCGGGCGAGATATGCGCTATACACCTATGTAAATGTGAATGTATTTTCCGTGTTACCTGTAATACTGTTTCCGCCGAATGCAATTGGCGGTTTTGTATGGGGATTTTCTTTCGTTTCACGAACGGCACTTTAGAAAGCCGTTCGTGAACCGAACGCGATACCCCCTAATAGCCCACACACTTAGAGGCGTGTGGCGCTAGTTAACCGATTGCAACATTGTTGCAATCGGTTATTAGAGGCTCTCCTGGGTGGCCGTCGTTCGACTACCGACCATGCGGCGGTCGGCCATCTTGGATCCCTTGTTCGTCAGCGGGTCCGTGTCGTCGAACGCATACTACTACCAATAGTTATTCGACGGCACGAACACCGCTGAGCCTCCCAGACGTTCGGGAGTTTCAGGACCAGGTTCACCCAAAGCAATCGGTTCCTTTTGTGGGTTTTGTAAGAAATGTGTTTTCTGTGCGGCGTTCGGTTAATTTGGCTGGGATCTGAGCGGCAATCTCACGAATGATGCGCCCAGACCCCAGCTATCTACCGAACGTCCATTCGTGTAAATCCACCGTGTATTTTAAAAGTTATGTATTTTTATATGGATTGCCGGTTCTGCTGCACGAGGGGATAATCCCCTTAACGGTGCATTCTGGGAGGATGATCCCTCTCGTGCAGCAGTGCCTGATGGGAGAAATATGTTATACTGTAAGTCCCCCATGTAGTCCCCTCTGGGAGTGCCCCTGGGAAGGGACTCAGGAGACCCCTTGCATGGGGACTTGTATAAATTGTCGTGCTGAATAAAGGATTGTCAGTTGACTCCCAAAACTGTGTCTCGTCCGGTTATTGGGAGGTTGGGGATATTGCCTTGGTGTTTTCAGCGCTTGACTGTGGATTCGTTCTGGACCAGCGGAATTCGTGGATTTTATATTGGCGTTCCGCTACAATTTTTAAACCTTTGTCCCTCTAATTTAAGACTATGTCCTCTTGTGGTAGTTTTTCTTCTTTTAAATATAGTCTCCTCCTTTACTGTGTTGATTCCCTTTATGTATTTAAATGTTTCTATCATATGCCCCCTGTCTCGTCTTTCCTCCGAGCTCCAAAACTATGTTTTGCTAGTCCATTCTGCAAACACAGAAACTTTTAAAGGTGCGTATCGATTATTTTGTTTATTTTTTTTTTTAAGTAAAACGTTCAAAATAAGGGTCAATTAAATCACGGAATGTTCCTGTGACTTTGCTGCACGTCCAGGTTATGTGCAAGCATTTTCTTGAATTTAACACTTTAAAAAAAAAAAAAAAAAACAGTCGATGTATAGACTGCAAATTTCCTCTGTAATATACAGTCTATACATCGAGCACAGAGGTGTGACAATGTGTGTATAATGGCGTTCATGACTAGAAATGCGTAATTCCTAAAAGAAGCATCCGATTAATGCATTGCATACATTATCTGCGAGTAACGGTTCTGACATATGTATTAATAATTCCCATCCCTCCCCTGCATCCCTGGTTCCCTTCTCCTTCACACATCCTGGAATTTAGACAGTTTCACAGTTCCTGCCCCAGTTTTCCATTTCCTCTGCTCGTGACATCTGCACTGTCCTTGTGTCTCAAGAGTCGGACACAAAGCATTGCATGGGGTCTTTGAATATATATATATAGTGCTTAGTATAAAGGGGACTGCATGTTCCCATTTTAATCTGAATTGCATAGGGGCACAGAATGTTTGTATAGGGCAGGATGTAACTCCTTTTATTATGAGATTAACTTTTTGGTGACCATATGAACAGAGGGTGTGTGTATATATGATACATATACATAGCGCTATCTCACAGTAATATGTCAAACTGTTTTAGCATAGTTTGCCAACTTATCTGGGTCTTGCCGGGAGCTTGCACCCAGTCTTTTCAAGCAGGAGCACGAAACATGCTAATGCTCGTTGGATGAGCGCTCACCGCCAGTTAGTGCGGTCATGCCTCTCCCAAACTTTACAGGGACACCCTGTTTCTACTGGCGGCAACTTGATACGGGCATGGGTGCCCGGGTAAGCTGTCAAACCGCGCTAAAGTAGTTTGACATCTTACTGTTCGATGGCACCACCGCACCACTAAAACACTATAACAACTGCAGCGGGCTTTAGTAGTTGTGGTTCTTGGAGTCTTCTTTTAATGCATCTCTGGACCTAAAACACAGTTTTGCAGCCTCTTTCTCCATTTAATTCTCTTTAAGCACCCAGTCTCTGAATCCCCCCTAAATGTCTCTTGTACCTCCCTTTTTCTTTTCTTTTTTTTTTTTTTACAAAATGTAATATGGCTCAGGCTGTAGCCTATTATTAAGTGTGCTATGCTGAGCTGTCTTCAATGCAGGGCAGAAGGTGGCAAAATGCCAAGGGCCCAGTGGGTCCTAAGGGGCCTAAAGAGACAGCACCCCCTTTCCCCCCATCCATGTGCACAGCCTCCATTACTGAGGCCGGTGCAGGCCTTTCCTGAGGCTGATAGTAGAAGCTGCAGTCACATGGTGCAGACAGGCATGTTTATAGTCTCAGGAAGAGGGTGAGCAGCATGGCAGTGTGTGTGGGTCTGGGAGGGAAGATGGAGGCCTGGTGCCAAGGCAGCCCAGGAGATAATGCAGCTCTCTCCCCCACAGCCTGAGACTCATGTAAGGTAGGTATTTATATTTTTTTGGGGGGATGGGGGGTTGTAACAGTTTTTCCTTTGGTCTGTGTACATATAGTTTTAGGAATAAAAAAACCAAGGTGTGGGGTTGGCATGGTGATTTATAAATAGGCAAAAATGATTTATTGGTTTAGATATCTAGATAAAAATAAGGTTAGACAAATAATGAAAGAGTGGCAGAGGTTTAAAAGACAGCAATGAGAAAGTAGGATAAAATGGGTAAATAAACATGAAAAAAAAAATGGAGGGTTCAAAATTAAAAGAAGAAAAACCGCATTAAAGGTATATGAAGTCGTAACAATGGGAAATACCAGAGTAAAATGGAATTCTAGATTCCAGGGTTAAAAGGCATCTTGGTAAATTGAAGAGTTAAAAATGGCAAGCGAGTGAAAGGCAGGGTTAAAGTAGGAAACAAGGGTTAAAAGGAAAGCGACTGAAGGATTTTTAGATTTTAATTGTGAGGTGGTGTTGGTTTAAAAAAAAAAAAAAGCAATGCTTATGTAGTTATTAAGCGAACCTGTCATGAAATATACAACTTTATCTCTTTTAAAGGAGCTTAAAATTCTATCTATACATTGTGCAAGCAGTTTTGCGAGCTAATTTATAGATTGGGACAAAAACCTACCTAAAAATAGTTCTCCTATATCTCTCGGTCCCTTGGCAGACACAAAGATGTATTCCTAACACTAATGTTCTTGCGGTTCCCACTCCCTGCGTTGTAAAGGGTTAAATAACCCTTTATTCACTTACCCAATTCATGTCCCGCCTCATTATCCGTCATCCCATTGGGGAACCCTAATGCGCATGCACGGCGAGGGCGGTAGGCCTTCTCCGTAGGAAAGCATTGCCTCAATGCTTTACTATGGGTTTTTCCTATGACGCTGGATGTGCTCATGCGGAGCGCGAGGACGTCCAGCGCCGTTTCACAGTTACTAGAACCATTGCACCTTCTCTAAAACAGAAGTGTTTTACATTACAGAACTAAGGGGACATGGACATTGCACCCAGACTACTTCAATGAGATGAAGTGGTCTGGGTGCCTAATAGTGTTCCTTTAATGCTGAGGAATTGAGAGACAGGGAGAGCAAAATAGACCTCCCGCAGAAGGTCCCTCTGCTCTCCACCCATTGCAGCCACAGTGCATGCGCTGTGGTTGCTATGGTAACTCCCTACCCCGGCACTGCTATGGAGTATAGGAACGGAGTCACGTCACTCCGTGGAGGAGGTTTACAAGGCAGCAAAGAACAGAAGTGTAACACCCACCACTTTAATGAGATCGCAGAGGGCCAGGTAGGACGTGGCGTTTTCTCTTGAACAAAACAGGTTTGGAACTGACCAGGGACTTGTTTAGGCTAGTGAATTCCAAACCAGTCCTCAAGGCACCACTACCAGTGCAGGCTTTATAAATTACCCAGCTGTGTCTAAGGTTTGTTTTAGTTTTTAAACTCTAAAAAACACTTTAGACACAACTTGGTAATCCCTAAAGCCTGGACTGGTTAGGGGTGTCTTGAAGACTGGTTAAGGCAAACTAGAAAAAAACTCTTCAACTCAATTCTTCCTCTAACTTGTCTATCTTATTTTGCGAATTACCAGCACTTCGTAGTTTAGTAATTAGCCCTGCTAGCAAATGGTTAGAAAATAACTTTTCGTCGATAAAGCACACGGTCATTGATTGCACATGGGAAGTGGGACCGTCTGCACAGTGTGCCCATCTGATGTTACCCATGCAAAAATATGTTGTATCAGGGCTTGACAAATTTGTTTGGAATCTAGGAGCCAGCTAAAAAAGTTAGGAGCCAGTCATTTTCAACGATAAAATTCAATTCCTAAAGGGACACTATAGTCACCAGAACCACTACAGCTTGATGTAGTGGTTCTGGTGTCTGTAGCCTGCCCCTGCAGGCTTTTCAGTGTAAAAACACACACTTTTGTTTTAATTGAACCCCACTCAGCCTCCCAACCTTTGGGAGAGCTGAGTGAGCCTTTCTGCTCTCTTTGTGTGTGAGGCTATGGTTGGTGTGCAAGGGAGCAGCACTCTGCCTGTAGCATCTCTCTGCTCCCTCGCGCTCTCAGGTGCCAGAGTGATGTCATATCCCTGCTCCCGGCATCATTACACAGCGCGCGAGGGAGCAGAGAGGAGCTACATGCAGAGTACTGCTCCCTTGCACACCAACCATAGCCTCCTTAGGGCGGCCGCCTCCATCCTCCTCCTCCTCCGTCAAAGCTCCCTCGGCAGCCACACTAACTAGAGAGCTGGCAAATCCCAGACGCCAGGGCGAAATTTCTAGTCGCCATGAGGTTTGTCGAGCCCTGTGTTATATCAAGACATAAAAACGTATTGACCTATTGTCTATTATTTGTAATTATTTATTGTTTGGATGCAGAATTGGCCTTGTTAGGGAAAAAAAAAATGCAATTAGATGCAAAGACGGAGTGTAGACTTAATGTACACTCCCATATTTCTCTCTCAGTGAAGAATTTTTGGAAGGGTCTTACCCAGTGCAGTTGCAGCCACCACACAAGCCTGAGCTGCCACACGAGTGTGTATGAGGTGCACGGACATTTTGACATCTCCTCTTCCCTTGAGACGATATAGTCCGTATGCTACAATCACAGCAAACCCGGCCAAACCTTGTAAATTAAAAAAAATTGTGTGTTAATTAACTTTGAATGCATTGCTATCATGCATTCTGTCTGCTGCTCTGTCATGTTAAATAGCAAAATAATCAATAGGTCAATTATTAATGCTCCTGTTATTCTAGTGCATTAACCCATTTAAGGCACACTCCTTAAGTGTCAGGATGCGCGCGCGCGCGTGTGTGTGTATATTTATATAAATGTATGCGCATGTTAAGGTGTGTTTGTGTTGGTGTGTCTGTGTGTGATTATATTTTTATGTATCTCTGTGTTAATGTGCATGTATGTATGTGGTAGTGTATGTATGTTGTGCTGGTGTATGTATGTTGTGCTGGTGTTTGACTGCTTGGATGTATACACAAACACACTCCTGCAATCTAACACAAATATTACATACAAACACACCCTTCACTCCAACACAAAAACTTCACACAAATGTACATCCACATTTAAAAGTGAACATTACATTCAAACACACCCCTTTATTAAAACACTAAAATTCTATACAAACAACACTATAGATATCATAGCGCCAGTATATGGCGCAGCGCAGATAAACAACCTAGAAATTAGTTTTGCCTTGGAAAAACATTGAAATATTAAGGGCGCCTTGAACCATAAAAGTTTGAGAACCACTGGATTACCCTGTGGCCTCCCATAGTAATGTGTCTCACAAATTATCCCTTGCTCACTCTTAAAAGGGTCACACTCCACTATCACCTGTCAGACCTGCTACTTCCCACCCTGTCACTTGCTTGCTATTCCAACACTGCCCTTCCTACTGTGTTTTTATACCCCACCTCTTCTAAATTGTAAGCTTTTTTCTTAGCTGGTTCCTCATCAACCTATTTCTCATGTAACATTTTATAATTGTCTTGTCTATTGTTAAATTTCCCCCTTTCTAATATTGTAAAGCACTGCAGTATATGTTGGCGCTATAGAAGTGCCCGTAATAGCCAGTACTTCATACAGCCTTCTGCAAATTCCTTATTGTAATGAATTGGAATCCAAGCGGCAAAACCTGGACAAAAAATAGCTGATCTGGAAGAATTCAACAACTCTGCTATAGTCCCAACTTGGAAATTTAAGCCTAAATTTTGCCATTTTGATTTTAGTTTGAAATCATTGTTTAGTGTATTTAAAGGATCACTATAGTATCAGGAAAACAAAGCGGTTTTCCTGACACTATAGTGCCTGAGGCAGCCCCCACCATCAGGGTCCCCCTCCAGTGGCGCTGAAGGGGTTAAAACCCCTTCAGCAACTTACCTTATTCCAGAGCCGAGGGTGACCTCTCCTCCCCCGCTGACGTCAGCGGAGCCGAATGCGCATGCATTCAAGCTATCAATAGGAAAGTATTTCTCAATGCTTTCCTATGGACACTGTGCACGATGGAGGCATGATATGCCTCCAGCGTCGCAGATGCGCCTCTAGTGGCTGTCCGGAAGACGTTTGCATTCAGGGTTAAAACCTGAGGGACATTGCACCCAGACCACTTCATTGAGCTGAAGTGGTCTGAGTGACTATAGTGTCCCTTTAACATTTTTGCAACGCCAAAAAAAACACAAATCTTGTCATGTACTAATTGCAGTACTTAAGTACTAAATTATGATCAACTGATCAATTAAAAACTGAATTAAAAATACACGTGCAAGTGAATAGAAGTGAGAGATTTTTAATCAGTTGCATAAGCAATTCTCACATTGTGCTTGGAGTGTTGCTTAAAATGCAATGAAGCTATAGCCCTGCTAAGCCAGGTTACTCACTAAACCGTAAATTGTTGGGAATTAAAAGTAAATGTAAACAGATTAATTCACTGGTGTGAGAATTGCTAGGTATTCAGAGTAAATTTCAAAATTTAAGGCCAAAAGAGCAGATTTAGAAAAATACTCGAAAGTCAATTCTTTGTATAGTTTGGTTTACATTGGACCATAGCCGTCATTTTCCAGCAATTCTCAAATTTAGTTAAAGGATCACTATAGGGTCAGGAACACAAACATGTATTCTTGACCCTATAGTATTAAAACCCACCATCTAGCCCCCCTGGGCCCCTTATGCCTCCCTAATCTTACTTGTATTCAAGCCTAAAGCTGTAGCTCTGCATGCTGTTTGCCTCAGAAAAACAAGCTGTCTGCTGATATCATCAGTAGTGGTGGCCTGATCCAATCACAGTGCTTCCCCATAGGATTTGCTGAGACTGTCAAGGAGGCAGATCAGGGGTAGGCCCAGCATGATTCAAACACAGCCCTGGCCAATAAGCATCTCCTCATAGAGATAAATTGAATCAATGAATCTCTATGAGGAAAGTTCAGCGTCTGCATGCAGAGGGTGGAGACACTGAATGTTTGGATGCATTTTAGGCAGCCATGACCCAGGAAGGATCTCTAACAGCTATCCGAGGAGTGGCCAGTGAAGTTATCACTAGGCTGTAATGTAAACACTGCATTTTCACGGAAAATACATTGTTTACAGCAAAAAGCCTGAAGGTAATGATTATACTCACCAGAACAAATTCAATAAGCTGTAGTTGTTCTGGTGACTATAGTGTCCCTTTAAAACAAAACCATGTAAGTCAATTTCACATTTTACGCTGACTTTGCCAAACTGAAAACACAGCTATCTTTTTAGCTACTTCAGTTTAGCTACTTGTACTATAGGCATCAAAACAACTTAAGCTTAATAAAGCAGTATTGGTGTATAGATCATATCCCTGCAGTCACACTGCTCAATTCTCTGCTATTTTAGGAGTTAAAGGGACACTAAAGTCACACATTGTCCAAGTCTCACTTAGTCCTGCAATGTAAAATTTTTTTTGAGAAACTTCAATAATTACATTGCAGGACTAAGACTGCCTCTAATGGCTGTCAGTCAGATTAGCACCAGAGGAACTTCCTGGTGGCTAACCGACTTTTGGTTTTCTAACTGATACTGAATGTGCTCACGCTCTGCATGAGAACATCCAGCATCAGTAAAATGCCCACAGGAAAGCTCCTCGTCGGAGAAGGCGGAGCGCGGACGGCCGATGCTGCAAACGGGTTAGTGACTAAAGAGTTTTTTTTGGTTTTTTTTATCCCTTTATGAGGTGGGGGGGACCGGGACCAGAGGTGTCTATAGTGTTAGGAAAACAGATTTGTATTCCTAACACTATAGCATCCCTTTTAATCACTTTGTGCAGCCCTAGTTACACCTCTCTGCATCTAACTTATATAGCCTTTCTAAACACTTCCTGTAAAGAGAACTCTGCATGCCCTGTAAACAAAGTTTAAATGTCAATTTAAACTTCTAAAGTAAGTTAACCTCTGACTGAAAATTAAACCATTTTGTCATGCAGGCTGTCTGAGTCACAGCCAGGGGAGGTGTGACTAGGGCTGCATAAACAGAAACAAATATATATATATATAAAATCATAGATGGTAAATATCACTGCATTGATCAATAAAAGGTTTAGACATTTACATTACAAACTGGCAAGTTAATGCACACTAGCTAATTTTCATTTTCAATTTGTAAACATTAATGTGTTGTTTTCACTCATTAAGTGCTGATATTATAATCATTTCAATGCTTACATTATAAATCCCATAATAAGCAATTGAAAACCAAAAAGATTAAGTAGGTCAATTTGCTGCGGCTGGAGACTGACACTTTAACCAGACCCCGGATAAATATATAGAAATAAACAACCCTATCCATCCAGCATTACACAGTCCTGTCCACACTTGAACAATTCACAGACAGATCTGGACGGATGAAAGACAAACTTACAGAGTCAGAGATATTAGTATAAACACAAGAGTCCTGTGCAGTAATTCTCGGTTAGCATGGATCCACATGTAAAATGGACACTTTAACCCATTAAACATGTTACCGACATGCCATCACTTTGTTCTTATAGAGATTGAACTACCTACTTATTGACTATTTTTTTCTAGAAATCTGATAAGTCTATATTTATGTTAACAGGTGTTAACATTTTTTTGTTTAGTTTTTTTGAGTTTGGGTGAATTCCAATGTGGAAAATTTATCAAAGTATTCTAAAATGAGGTGCAAAAATATTAGAGGAGATGAGTTTCCAATGAAGGGTGCTTACTGGCTCCGTTGATCTCCACGATGATTGCCCCTGTACTTTAGAGCAGGACACGTTGATAAAATTCCACCGATGTGTGCCTTATATAACTCACCTACAGGGACAAGAGGGGACTGCTTCATCTTTCGTTGCAGCTTTCCTGTAACGCTTTCCTGATCCTCAGGTACCCAGGAGTCCTGGTCTATAGACATCTTGCAGCCGTTAAAAAAACAGTGCCCATGTGGTGCGTTACATGTAAGTCCGACAGGCTGCTCAACCCAAGAAGAGTTGCCCAAATGAAGTGCCCTGCAACACAAAACAGAAAGTTAGAGGTTAAATGGAGACAGGAGATACATGCACAAATTAAATTTAAACACACTTTGTCAATGTGACAGTGTATACACAGGCAGACAGTGATACTTGTGATGTGCAGAGGTAAACATCCCTGTGTATACTTGGACAGTTTGCAGACAAGGACCAAAAAACAGGCGCAGTTATATGTAAAAATAAATACCGGTATAAACATAGCACAGGTATGACAGATGGAGGCTTCAGACGTCAAGAGAGCAGACACGTCTTTAGAGGAGCGTTGAGAAGATTCTCAGTTGCTGGATATGATGAAGTTTGAAAATTAGTTTTGTTGTTTTTTTTCCCCTCCAGCAGCCTAGGTCAGTCCTGCTAAAACTGGACTCTTGTTTTCACAGAGGTGCTTTATGTACGGGGCAGACTGGGCTCTCGTCCATAGAGAGCCTGGGAATGGTAGCCAGGGTCGCTGTCCGAGCCACTGTCACTCACATAAAAGAAAAGGGGGAGCCGAGCTTGGCACACGCCTCAGTCCTCATCCTACTGTTAGCATCTCACCCTAACAGAGAGGGGGTAATGAGGAATTACATCTGCCTGTTCTCTATATTTTAACACTATAGAATAATGTATTTTATTTAATAGTAAATTATACTCGAAGAGGACCTATTATGAAAGAAAATAAACAATTCAATGCAGCATATATTAATATAGAATTGGTTGTTCAGCAACGGGCGTGGGATGCAGTTTTAGTCTGTTTGAGGTCAAAGGTGTCACAATTAAAAAAATAAATAAATCATACAGCGTATTCAGAGTAGATAATTTAAGATAATATGGACCACCTACAGAATCACAAATTGAAGAGTGTCAGAATTGGAGAGTTTGGATTTAAAAAGTTAGTTAGAAGAGTCTATACAAATCACTCTAGAATCTTAGAATTTAACAAACTTGGGATGTAGTTGGAAGGAGAAAGATTATCAAACAATGGATTTATGGGGTGGGATTGACAGCTTTATGTTTGAGGGATAAGAGATATTTCTTACTTACTAGGGTTAAAGGGAATGGGATCAAGGAGACAGTTGGTGGAACAAGGGGATAAAAGAGTAGAAACCGCCTGTTCAATTTAGAGTAGAAGTTGAATTGAGTTGTACGAGAAAAGAGATTATTACTAATGTGGTCAATAAAGAAACTCGGGTCAGTGGCGCTATTTGTTCATCCCTTCTCTTGCCAAAAAAAACAAACACCCAGTTGGAGTTGGAGTCAGCATCAGTTCTACCTGTATATTACTAAAAAGACTGGCTGTAGAGCTATCAATTAGTATAGCTGTTTACCCTCAGGTACTCACAGCCACTAACCAGATACTTAAATGGAGTGTAAAGTAATAGAAGTTTAAACATTAGATTTTTTTTTTTTTTACAGGAAATTGAAGGGGGACTGTGTGTGTCACATGCAGTGAGGTGTGGCTAGGGCTGTATAAACAAAGTGGTTTAACTCCTAAATGGCAGAGAATTGAGCATTGAGACTGCATGGGCATGATCTGTACAACAAAACCTCTTCATTAAGCTAAAGTTGTTTTGGTGCTTGTAGTGTCCCTTTAATGTCATTGGGCTTTTAATGCTATCTTTTTTAAAACCTCCGCTTTCCAGGGGAGCTCTCATGTACTTGGTATTGTTGGGAGTTCCTGCTGCCCACTGCAGTGTTGAGTTAACAAAAGCTCTCCACTTTTCTATATCTGTTTTCCCATCTTCTCTATCCTGTGTGTATCCCTCACCCACTTCTACCTTGCTTGTGCCACCCTCCTTCATCAAACCCAGATCTCCCTCCGTCTTTTCCCACCTTTGCTCATTCCCGTTTTTTTTTTGTGTCTCTTTTAATTGAGCCTTTGCACCCATCTACGAACCGCTTGTGTCTCTTTTCCCCAGTTGTGCCTCAACTGCATCCACTACTTCTGACATGAGCCAAAAACACCTAACCAGGAGCTTCCATTAGCGTTCCTGAGCTAAGCGTGCAGATTCTGTCTCCCCAGTCTGAAGTAGTGGTGGTGGGAGCAGTGCTGGCAGACAATAGGTAAGAAGTCTAAAATGGTTAAGGGGGGGGGGCAGGGGGGCCCAGGAAAGCTTGGCTTCATATCGCTATCCTATTACTTTGAATTTATTTTCATTCAGCTCTATGAGATTCTCCTGCAACACGACATATGTTGTCGTTGTGCGATTCCCACAGCAGTGTTTCTTTGATACGTGTATACTCTGTGACACAGTCGCACATTCTCTTACAGATGGAATGCTGCCATATCATACTATACTTTGCTGTAAGTTTTATTGTTGTGATACGTTTAAATGCATAATACGCTAGTGTGAGCATTAACAAAATGATATATCCAAATTTTGTTTTATCAAGTCTCCTGCAAGACAGCTCTGTTTCACCTATAATCATTGTACTGTGTTGTAGACTTGTTGCTTTGCCACACGTGTGTCCGTTTTGAGGACATTGAGCTGGTTAATAGTGATTTGTAGTGAGGACGTTGAAACTTCAATATGATGCCACGGACTGTGGAGCCAGGCCACAAGTTCTTCAAAAACTGACAACAAAAAAAAAGCAACTATACCCATAGAGTCTGGCACCATAATCACTACAATAAACTGTAGTGGTTATGGTACCTATTGTTTTATTGAGCAGGGCCCTCAATCCCTCTGTTTCTGTGCGTTCTCTTGTCTGGTTACAATTACGTGTCTGTTAGTTTACCCCTTGGACATCCCTACAAATTTGCTGACACTATATAAATAAAATAATAATAATCACATGTTCTTAGAGACCTGTGGATAGGTAGTCTCATGCTATGCAAATTGCTGACAATGATATATGGCAGCCTACATTGCCATTACTAATAAAACATTGTGCAAAACACCGAAGTGCTTTTTACATATTTAATTCTTTGTACTGAGCTCTAATCCCCAATTTAAATGGATAACTTTATTGAAAAAACTTTTGTCATCCGTCTCCTTAATTTTAGAGTGGTGGTGAAGCCTCATCTAACAATAAAGGGTTAAGGTGAGTGTCTGCTCAGTCAGTGAGTACGTGCATTGGCAGGAAAGGGGGGATGGGATAATTGTGAAACACTGCTCATGATCCCCCTCCAGCTGTTTTGATCTGAGGGTTCCCATCGGATATGACCTCTTGTCTCTTTCTCATGACTTTTTTGTTTATGCACAATAACTGCGTTATTGTAAGCTTCCATCTTGCTCAAACATCGGGACAAAAGCAGAGGGGGAGATGATGAGGGACAGTTGCGGATGAGATAAGAGACACAGACCTTTTTTTCCAGGAACCCCCTAATGAGAGAGAGCCTGCATAGTCTGGAAAAATATAGACCTATTATTTGGAGTTAGTCAGGTGTCTAAACATCATCAACTGGCAGGCCTGTTCCAGCTGTACTGTACCCAGATCTTACACTAGGTTCCGTTATGTATCAGCAGGAAAAAGAACCACTTAGTCGGGAATGCCTTGTTGTCTGTCGTGATAAATAAAAGTTAATATGAAATTAAAGGGAGACTTCTGGCACCATAATAACTTCAGCTTCTTGAAATGGTTTTCTTGCCGGGGCACTGTCCCTGCAGCCTTGTATCTGACTAATTTGTAAAACTGACAAACAAAGCTTTAAATCAGAGCTCATACTCTGCTTTAACCCCTTAAGCACCAAACTTCTGGAATAAAAGGGAATCATGACATGTCACACGTCATGTGTCCTTAAGGGGTTAAATCCCTTGGAAACAACGAGCCAGTACTTATAAACTCCTGACTCCCGGCACGCATTGCATATTGAATAAGCTCTCTTACAGGGATATTGACAAAAGAGAGAATTCAAAGTAAATTCCAAATCTAAGGTCATAATAGCCAGACTAGAAAAATTCTCTAAGCCAGCTATACTTCCATTTCGTCTACTTTGGCCTTAAAGGGACACTATAGTCACCAGAACAACTACAGCTTATTGAATTTGTTCTGGTGAGTAGAATCATTACCTTCAGGCTTTTTGCTGTAAACACTGTCTTTTCAGAGAAAATGCAGTGTTTACATTACAGCCTAGTGATACCTTCACTGGCCTCTCCTCGGATAGCTGTTTAGAGATCCTTCCTGGGTCATGGCTGCCTAAAATGCATCCAAACATTCAGTATCTCCTCCCTCTGCATGCAGACACTGAACTTTCCTCATAGAGATTCAATTCATCTTTATGAGGAGATGCTGATTGGCCAGGGCTGTGTTTGAATCATGCTGGCTCTGCACTGTGATTGGATCAGGCTACCACTTCTGATTATGTCAGCAGACTGCTTGTTTTTCTGAGGCAAACAGCATGCAGAGTTACAGCTTCAGGCTTGAATACAGTAAGATTTTTCTATATTTATGGAGGCATGAGGGGCTAGATGGTGGTTTTAACACTGTAGGGTCAGGAATACATGTTTGTGTTCCTGACCCTATAGTGATCCTTTAAATTTAAAATTCCTTCAAATTAGCGACATGCGCAGAACCGTTTATCATAGAGAAAATAATGATCTTTAGATTGTAAGTATTCACCCCTGGAGGGCAGCACCTGCAAGTCCCTCCACTTAGTAGTGGCATACCACGTCTTTGGTATGTACACCAAGAAGTGTAATTCTAGCCTCTCCCTTCCTGACTGGCAAAGCTTGTAAAAGGGCGCAATATCAAACCCTATTTAATATATGGTACCCTAGCATCACAACCACTTAAATGGACTCTCCACTGCCCAAATGCAACAAAAATAAAAATAAATCATGGTTTAGTACACATACCCCCGATGAAAGCATTCATGCATATAATTATGCATTTTTTTCATTGGGGGTAAAATCAGATCTCTTGTCTGCAGCTTTTGCAAGCCCTCCCCTTCTAATCCCACCCAGACTTTCTGTGGCTGTCCAATCACAGACTTCCTATTAGAGCTCAATGAGAAGTCTTTGCAAGGCAGGTGTTCTGTGCAATTGCTGCCTCATGAGTTTAGCACTTCAGCTAAGACAGCTTTATTGCAATTGGTTTCAACCTTTTGGTTACCACTTACAGTCCTATACACTGTATATACCTATGCGGTCTCAGTGGTATATCACAGCAAATCTTACCAAGTAATTCCCGTTGATTGTTATCATTAGAATCTCTCGTATCCCTCTTCTTCTTGTCTATCTCAGACTGCACTGGTGTCAGGATAACATCTGCAAGGCAGCAGTAACACATGTCCAGAGGTCAGTGGTTAGTCCCTCTCCATGGGAATCTTAGCAGAAACATTCACAGCAGACTCTGAGACACATCCTGTCTTTTAACTCCTAAATCACTTGTACACTTGCCTGTGTATTAAGAAAAAGTGATAGAATAAAAATACATAAAGATTGTCCATATATCTGTCAGGAGTCTTATCTGATGGGGAGTCCGGCTCGCAGAGTTATACGCTCACCCTTGCAAAGTAGACACAGACCAGGGTGACCAGGTGAGACGCCACCGACCTGTGAGTCTGTGCACGGGGGCTTTCCAGGAATAGAGCTCCAAGTAGCAGTACAGGAGGGATTAGCAGAAGTGTAGTCAAGGAAAGCCAAAGATCAGAGTAGTCCAGGAGGAAAG